CTGTAATCTGTTATAGTTCTTCATAAACATCCATGACAATACGGTACTGTACTATAGTCCACTGAACTTTGATGTACTATATTAAAATATAAATTTTTAAAAGATCACAGCTTAAGTGAACAGTACTGTGTGTTTGGATAAAAAGTTACAGCTACTGAAGCTCAATAAGTGCAGCCAGCATTCCAAAAAGACATACAATACAGTCAACCCTCGCTTTACGCGGTCCCACATTCCGCGTTTCCACGTTTACGCGGTACCCTGCCAAAACCCGGGATGCTCACATTCCGCGGTGCGTGTACCCCTTTACGCGGAGAGTGTCTGGCTCGACGCTATTTTTAGATTCGCCCCTCCCGCCTGGGCAAGCCACGCGGTAAGGTTGCGCAGTGCATGTCTCTGTTGCGTTATCAGTGACGTCATATGACGTATCGGACTGTGATTGGCCATGCATCCCTATCTCCCTCCGCTGCTAGCTGTAATTGGTTTAAAGTAATATGACGTGTCCACCCGGGGGTGGGAGGGACGGAGGAAAGACGACGCTTGACCTAGCCACGGCAGTTTCATCCCTCCAGGCCACACCGTGTAATCATGCATCCATTGTTCTGTAAAATGGCTTCCGCCGGACCACCGCCCCCAGAGAGAAACCTTTCCTTACCTGGACCCAGCCGCCCTATGCCAAAGAAGACACGACGTTCCTTAAGCTACGAGGTGAAGTACAAGATCATCCAAGAGTTGGAGAAAGGAACAAGACAGGTTGATTTGGCGAGCCAGCATGGTGTGAACGAATCTACGATCCGGACGATAAAGAAGGATGCAGCCAAGATAAAGGAGCACATGAACATCACAAAGTCTACAGGTGCTTCTATGATCAAGTATGTCCACAACCAGGTGCTTCTCAAGACGGAAAAATTACTTGTGAGCTACTTGGTGCGTCAGGCGCGACGGAACATGGCGGTGGACACGCGCTCTGTTAAGGAGTACGCACGTGAACTGTATGCTGCAGTGTCACGAAAGATGGGAATTACAGAGCCCAAACCCTTTAATGCTTCCTCTGGGTGGTTACAGAGGTTTAAGAAGAGGAACAAGATCACCAATATCAACATTGGTGGTGAAGAAGCTAGTGCTGACCGTGTTGCGGCTAGGGAATTTCCTCCGTTTTTACGTGAGATTATGGAGGAAGGACAGTACACCGACGACCAGGTGTTTAACATGGACGAATCTGGTCTTTTTTGGAAAAAGCTACCTTCCAAGACCTTCGTTGTGAAGAATGCCAGCAAGATTCGGGGCCGGAAGTTGCAGAAGGAGCGCATCACCGTCCTGTTTACCACCAATGCCTCCGGTACCTGTAAGCTCAAGTTATCGGTGATCCACACAGCACGCAAGCCGCACGCCTACAAGAGCATGGACATGACCAAGCTAAATGTCCACTGGCTGACCGCACGTAAGGCGTGGATGTTCTCTACACTATCCCTCTCCTGGTTTGATGACTGTTTCGTTCCCGATGTGAAGAAATTCTGTGAGCAACAGAATGTGCCATTCAAGATTTTGTTGCTGCTGGACAACGCACCAGGACACTCGCCCCTACTGTTAGATCGTCACCCCAACGTAAAAGTGGTCTTCCTTCCTCCCAACACTACGTCTATATTACAGCCCATGGACCAAGAGTTAATCTGTAATGTAAAAGCTGCATTCTCTACGAAAAAATTCAAGCTCCTGAACGACTACACCAACACCAGGGAAGAGTTGCGTAACCTGAGTGACACCACCACCGATAGCAAGAGCGAAGACGACGAGGATCAACAGTTGGCAGAGCAACAAGTACTTTTAAAACAATTCTGGAGAATATTCAACATCAAGAAAGCTGTGGACTTCTTGGTGGAGGCATGGGATCAGCTGTCTGTAGCATCTGTTCGTCACGCATGGAGACATGTGTTGCAAGGCATTCCGACCGTTAGGCAGAGTCAATCTGTGACTGGTGAGGTTCAGACTATTGCAGTAGCAGTGGACCTTGCCAGAAAAGCTGCGCAGAGTGTTACAGCTGCAGGCTTCTCCGAGACCACCAACGACGACATCCTGGAGGTGATAAGGGATCCTGATGTGACTACCGACGAGATGGTAGATGATGAGGCAGGTGGTGCGTCATCCCAAGAAGAACACCGCTTATCCCATAGTAATGTTAGGGGTGCCATCGAGTGTATCGAGAAAGTCAAGCTCCTCCTTTCCGACGACCCTGACGCAAACAGGTATGAAATCTTCACTACCCAGCTGTTGCAGACTATGGAGCCCTACTTCAAGGTCTATCACGACAACATAAACACCAGCCGTCAGCAAAGCATAACAGAGTTCTTCGCCCGCAACCCACCACAGCCAGCCCAAGCCAGTGACAGAGGTAGAGACAGTGATGATGACTTGGGATTTGTCAGGGAGGCCCTGACAAGTGTGGATGACAGTGATGGTGACTCACCTGAGGGCCAGTAGTCTGCCCTCTGCCTCGGAACCAGCCTCCATCCCCGTATGCCGACCCATCTCTTCTACTAACGTAAGTGTTAAACCTAACTTTTAGTTTTCCTAACCTAACCTTTATTTTTCCTAACTTAACCTTTATTTTTCCTAACCTAACCTCTTCTATATTAATTGTGTGTGCATACCATCATAAAGTTAAGATAAAATTTTTACTACAACATAGCTGTGTGTCGTCAAAAAGTGGAGTTTGGGGGTCGGTCCGGTCTCTATTTCAATTAATCCCATATGTTATGTTGTTCACTTTACGCGTTTCTCACTTTCCGCGGTACCCTGTGGGTTGAATTAACCGCGTAAAGTGAGGGTTGACTGTACATACAGTACTGAATGGGACATCTAAATCCTATTTGGATACAGTATTTCACTTCCAAATACAGTATTTCACTTCCAGATACAGTATTTCACTTCCAGATACAGTATTTCATTTCACTGCACTATCCATTAAGAATCTATATAAGCAGGTATACCTCCATAACCGATGCATATAGGTACGTAGTGTGAAAACTCATTGGTTAGTGAATCAATGGTTATCAAAGCAATTAACCCCATAAGAATATAACAAATTTGGGAGGTTAGGGATGGGCCACCCCCTAAAACTCCCATCTACCTTTGATATAACTCTGTTGTGCACACTGTCAAGTAAGAAAATAAAGCAGATGTAAAAAACAAACATATTAAGCATTAAAAAAGGAATGTAAAGCATAAATTCAGATTGCTATTTACCTGTGTCGAGGATGGTAGAGATAGTCTAGGGTGGCAAGTTCAAGTCTATACCAATCTTTGCTGGTTCACCACCACTCTTATTATGCATTATCACATCAAGAGGGGAAGCACAAAAGGAATATCACTGGGGTGTTTAGGCATGATTGCGTAACACGAAATCAGAAATAACAAAAAAACACGAGGTCGGAGACACATGGTAAGTGTAAACAAGTGCAGAGAGGTGGGAATGAGTCGGAGGCAGCGCACAGAGCCCTCTCATAGCAAGAATTTGCACCACGCCACTGCCCGACAAATTCAATACAGCTCAGCCACTCCTCCCCCAATCATTGAGTCAATGGGGTATTAATGAATCTTGCGAAGTAGTTCCCCAATACATAATTGTTAGTTATGCGAAGTGACGGTTAATGGGACGTTGGTTTTTGGGGTATACTTGTACTGTACACTACAAGGAATGAAATCACAACTGCATTAGTGTTTACTTGTACAGTACAGTACGTACAGTATACTGTATAAACAGGTAGACAATTTTATTCAGCACAGAGAGACCCCATGCACATGGAGGTTAACACCATGAATGCCTACTGGTAACCAGCCCCACTTTACTAAACTATCATGACTATTTCACTAAAGTTGTATCTTAAGAGAATTGTAATTCAAAACTTGCACAGTGCTGGGTGATAATAGTAAATGCAAGATGATCATCAAATATAAACAACACTCACCCTCATTAATCAGAGACTAAAGTAACCAAAATAAAGCCAAGACTATGTTACAGTTCTAGACTACAGCTAGAAGATGCTGGCAGTCTTGTTGACAACACATAGCAATGGACCAAGATAAAATTATCCCACATAGTCAAGTGGGCATGACTTATTACTCTAGAGAGTGGTAACTCTAACCCGATTTTTCCACTGGTATCAGAGACAGCTAAAAGATTCATTTGGATTTGCTAGATGGGCTGAATACAATACATTCATTACTTGTTGCAAAAGATAGTCTACCAGGATAATGTCTCCTGCTATCAAGCATTGCACTGCACATCATCTAGGTACTGGCAGGCTCTGCCCAGGGGAGCTTGGCTGTAGTCATCTCTCACAGGTCACTTGCAAGGGTCCAGGCCATATAAAACCGAAGGATAATAATGAAAGCTTTTCAGAAGCAAAATAATTACCAGTACTGTATATGCAACTAAACTTAGAGTACAATACTGTACTGCACTTTAATATCATAACATTCTAAAAAAGATATGTGAACATAAGAAAAAGTAGAGTACAGTATTATCTAATGAAGTGCTAAAACATTCCATTATCAGTCAAAAACGAGGCTTTACTCAGAAAATTACTAAAAACAATTACCGTATACAGTACAATACCGCATACAGTATAAATATCTGACATACACACACAACATAATCAACACGGTGAACATTGCCAATTCTTATCTCTGGAGAGTTTAGTACTGAACACAATACTTGTGTGGTAGCCACAAATTAAAATATCAAATGTTGTACATATACAGACATTAAAAAGGTCAGTAAAAAAAATTTAAAATTTACAAAATTTAAAAAAAAGATGCATTAATTGAACATGGATAAGAACTACATTGCCAAGCAAATGAGGAAAGGATGTACAGACAAGCAGAGTTGACTCCAGTTATTACCAAAAAGGAGAGATGTATCAAAGACCAGCAGGAGGACAAAGCACACTGCAGATATTCTTACCTTTCTACAAAAAATACAAAGAAAAATTCTGAATATTTACCATTTTTGGATTCCTTGTCAGATGTCACTGAAGCTGGAAATAAATTATCAACACTATAAATAAATACTGCACAACAGGGCTCTTTGACAACTAAGATTTATTACATTGAACAGTGAATACAGTACAGTAATCTGTAACATTCAGCTTTCTCATTTACACGTTGCCAGCAACTAAATTTGCTTTACTTTTCAAGCTGCGCCATCTTGTCTCCTGTCACTAAAATAAAAATATTACTTTACTTTCATGTCATAAAACAAAGGCAATATTTCAATTTCACAAAATTTTAAATACCTGTACAGTATTATACAGTATTTGTGTGCTGTACCTCTATTTTGGGAGAGCTCTCAGTATTCTAGTATTCCTTCCTAGCCTCCATCTTCAAAATTTAATGAGAAGGCAGATTATTTTATGCACAACATGAAACATCTTTCTAGTCTACAGGATGGTGATGGTAATACTGTACATTACTCGTGTTGCTAATACACCTCACTTAATGTTAAATACCATTCTTTAAACACAATACAGTACTGTACATAAAGACAACAATGATACAACTTATAATACACTAAAAACAGTGCTTGAATAAATATATACAGTACAGTATACTGTACTGTACAGGTACCTTTATACTGTACAGTACAATACAGTCTAGATTTATATGTCTAATTGCAAGAATTAAAACAACCTTTATAATTACTGTATATACTTTTATAAAATACATATTCTAATATTGTACACTTATTAATGTCAGTATCTATATTTTTTTAATCTATAGTCAACCTGACTGATGACAAAGTCATACTACGCCACAATACTGTACTGTACATCTGTTTTTCAATTAGCATATAAAGATACTGCACAATCTTACTAGCCCTCACTAATGCAATCCCACATATGTTTGAACAAAAAAAAAATTTAAAATACTATCAGTAATCCTGGAGCAGATGGCTAACACCAGAGTGCGTCGTTCAATTATGTTAATTTTTTCTACAGATGTTCTTTGGATGATAGTACAGTAAGTAATAAAAATGATATGAAAATACATAGAACTACAGAGAACCTGACCTAACCAACCAAAGAAACCTACCTAACCTTATCTAACTTCCTAGCTGGGGACCTCCGCCCCCCGGACCCCCTGCCATATTAAAAAGAAAGTACAGCATGCCCTTCAAATTTATGGGGGTTAGGTTCTCAAAATGGCCGCTAATTGACAAATCCGCAAATAACATTTGCTGATCAGGGGGGTGGGTTGTTGTTAATAAACAAACAATGAGCAGACAACAGCAGCAGATTTTTCGGAGGAATATTTATTGTAAATAATTAATTTCTTCACGTACAAAGTAAGTAGACATCATTTTAGTGTCATATGATCAGTTTTTCACCTTGCTTTACCCCACAATATCCCTTATCCTCCATACCCTGCCCACTACAACTGATTTATGATTGTAGATCAAGAAAAAAATAACAAAACTTATACAGTAGTTGTCATTGCATTTTTCTTACTATCACCCAAAGAACATCTATGAGAAAAAATGAACAAACTCGAACAACTCCAACTGGTGTCGGCCATCTGCTCCAATATTACCAAAATACCAAATCATTCAAATAAAAATTATTTGAAAACAGTCTTTCAAAATTGCAAATCTTTAATTCCAGGCACTGAGCTTATGGACAGCATACACCCCCCTCCCCCAAGCGGGTACATTTGGGAAAATTTAAAAACAAATAAAATCAATTCTTATCTTACATACTAGTCAGGCATGATGTAAACAGTAGAGAACCACATGTACTTATCACAGGGGCTAGGAAGAGTCAAGAATACGAGTGAAGTGGTGTGTGTGTGAGGCAGTGGGTGAGGTTGGCAGCAGGGAGTAAACAACACTGATTGTAGGCAGTTTAAGGTACAGGACACTTGTTTTATTATGTTATTATATTACAGTATTTACAAATATTATTACTGCCTACAGTAATTTATCACAAACCTGTGGATGGTCAAGAGACCCCTACTACAATTGTGCCTGGGGGTTGGAAGGTGAAAACACTTGGTGAGGTAACGTAGGTTAAGGGGCAAGATGCCTACATTACAAGTGCTGAGAAGCTGTCGAGAAGAGACTGGGAGGTTCTCATATGTGAGTAAGCGAAAGATATACAGTATACTGCACAATTGCAGAAATGTGTTCCTACTCACCCTATGGTAACCTACTATCTCCAAACAGTCAACCTATATGACCTACAGCAAACCTATCCACCAATCACATCCGTCGCTACACGACCAATACCCATTCATTCATAGTGATACTACTACCGTGACATTGCCGTTTGGAGAGACAGGTTACCACAAGGGGTGTACGAACACATTTCTGCAACTGTACCTACTTGGTAACATAATCTAGTCAGGCCTGTGTGTGGCAATTCAAACAGTACACTGTACTGTACTCCAAAATTACAAAATGTCATATAACATGATGTGAACTGAAGCTTATGGGTTAAAATAAAATTCTTCAAAAACATTTCTTAAAAAAAAAATGAAATACCTGTACACCTGTAGTACAGTACAGTACCTGTATACATTTACAAGCATTAGAGTGGCATGGGGTGGGATTGGACATGTTCCCATGTTGGACAGTGTTTTTAGTGCTCAAAAAAATTGCACAGTCTGACTATCCAGGCAATGGTGAGAGCCTTGTGATGTAATATTCAGGGATGGTCTGTCTGTGAGTGAAGGTGGTCCCTTTTAGTTAAGTTTTTCAGTATATTTTTATGTTGAAGTAAACTATCTGCTCGGATTTTTTTGGCCTTTTTTGTCTTCAAAATAATGATAGTTGGTTGTGTTATAAAAAGTGTATTCAGTAAAGTATATAGAATGGGTAATAAAGATATACCCTGTACAGTAATGGTAAAAAGTTGATAAGGGCAGGAGTATATGCTTGGGGACACAGAAGTAAAAATTACAACATCGATTTTGGTCCCGTGCTGGAAGCAACAAAACTTGGATGTCCGATGTGGGTCCAAGAAATTTTTTACAGTTTAAAAGGCAAATAAGTCCTATTTTGTATGCTGGTATATTTTTATCCATTTATATCTTTTTTTTGGGGGGGGGGATAAGAACTATGTCCAATCCCTCGCCATGTATGGTCCCAATCCAGACAAGGTGCAATTTTTTTTCTGTCAGTTTCAGTTGATTAAATATGTTTCTGCAAATTAAACCTTGTACCAAAGTTGGGCAAACAATTACGTTACCAAGCCATGTAAACAGTTTACAAATATATAGTATTTTTGTCTTAAACATTTCTCCACTAAGTGTCCAATCCCACCTAATACCCCCCTACATGTTCACTACATCATTGGGACTACAGATGTTCACAAACACCACATTATAATGATTGTAAATGTATGTTTCTAACAATTGTGTGTCGAAGAATTTTGTCAAAGAACTGTTTTTGTATACAGTACTGAACTGGTATTTGAAGTTCAAACAGTGTTGAACATGGTTGCCAGGCTTATTTTTACTCTCCCACCGAGGACTCCCACTGGGCGGAACCAGGAATATCAAAAGGGAGGGGTCTGAGAAGTTGTGGGTGGGGGAACATGGCGAGCATAGCAAGCCCACCCAGCTGTTTTTTTTGGGGGAGGAGGCCTTACAATACAGCATTAAAGAAAAGTACAGTATGTATAGGAATTTTCTGATGATAAAGGGGGGGTCTGGACACCCATGATCTCCCTGGATCTGCCCATGTACCCCATTCTTGATCAAAATACACTGGCTTCCAATTCAAGCTAGGATAGAGTTCAAACTCCGTCTTATGACTTTTAAGACAGTAATGCTTGGTGAGCCTATGCACTGTATTTGCCAACCTACTAATTCCACGGACTACATATTCTGAAATGATTTTGCCAAGTAGTGATGATCCTTCATTCCTTGAGGAGCCTAGAACAGTATGGGAATGCTCTTTTGCTGCCCAATCCTTTTCCTATACAGTACCCAGATTGTACAATTGGTTGCTTGCATCCATGAAGCAGCTTACTTCTATGGAGGCCTTTAAGAAACAACTTAAAACCTTTCTTTTTATGAAAGCTTATGATCCTGATGGAGAATTACAGGGTTTAGGAAGTATTAAAACTTAAGGCTAATGAATGATAGAAGTCTAAATGTCACGTTTTGTGATCTTTTATTGTAGTACAATATGTCCTTTTATTTTTAAGCCTGACTTTGTAGTGGTTCGAGCACTAGTGAATTTTTTAGAAGAACTGCCGCTTTTGAGAAGAAAAAAAAGACCAGCTATTATTATTATATCTGTAGATTTTTAAAAAGTTGTACACAGCAAAGAGAGGCCATGGCTGCATGCCTGCCTCAATACCCCACTGAATACAGTACCAGTTGCAAAAAACAATATGTCACATACCACCACCAACCATGCATCACCACCAGCCACACACCACAACCAACCACACACCACCACTAACCACGCATCATCAACCACACATCACCAGTAGAGTTGTTTGGCCATAAATATTGCCTTTGTAGTCCCCCTGTCTGGCATAAACACAAACAGCATTTTGTGTAAAGTACTGTATATCCACTCTCTCTGTCTCGCCAATTTCTCAATCTTTCCAAAACTTTCATAATCTAGTCTAGCAGCTTCAGACCCTTGTATTTCCCATATTCTAGTACATCACCTTTAAAGTATTCACAATCACACTCTTCTAGCAATCATTTGGAACAGTACATTCCATCATGACTGCATTTGTCAATTCAGTTACCATCAACACATCCTACATCGCCTGATACATTCAGAACTTTTGAAACTATCCCAGAGCATCCAGGTGCCTTTCAATTCTTCATTTTGTCAATTGCTTTTTTCATCCATTCTCTTTCAATCCTTGGGGCAGGGTCCCTGTACTATATGGGTTCTACTACCCCTAGGCTGCTGCCCCTGCCCCATTTGTATTCCTCAATCAAGAGTAAACCATAGTTAAGAAAAAGTAATGTTTTACATATTCAAAAATAAATTAATGTTAATCACCACATTAGACACTAATACAGTACTGTACATAACACATGAAGGTACAGTACAGGTACATGACTACTGTACTAATGGTATTGTGTTAGTTTACAGTATTTCCAGACAGTTTAATCAACTATTGTCCTCTTCTATTTTCAGTTACTGTATCTACATCATGTTGTATTTTCCTGTATTCAAAGCTGGGAAGCACAATTACAATCAATCCCACTACGTATTATTTTTTCAAACACTAATAAATGGCATATATAATATCAAATTCATACAGTACAGTATATGAAAATGATTAAGGATAGTTCACTAATAAATCTATCTGTACTGTACTATACTATCTTCTGCATAACATATCTAGTTACAGAAATATTCCGGTACTGTAGTGTCTTATTCAATAAAGTTGTATTTTGCAAAATTGTGGCTTCTCATGAAACTGGCAGTGTTCCAAAACTTTTCTTAAATTATCCATACATTAAAGAAACTTCTCTCTCAAGAATGAAAAGCAGGGTGGAGGAAATTCTGAGGAAAATTTATTCTTATACAAATGCTAAATATGGGAGGAACCAATCCTAGACAGCGGGTGACACAAGTTACCTAAGTCTACAACTTCACCTCTATCATCTTACACCAGAGAATACTGTATAGTGATGGCAAGTAGGGAATATGTATTTACCTGGCATCTCCTCCTCCTCTGCATCACTACTTTCTTCAGCATAAGGGTCTGCCTGCCGCTTAAGACGTGCCCTCATCTCCCCCTTCTTCTCTTTCTCCTTCCGTGCTGAAAAAGAAAAGAAAAACTGACATAAAGTAAAGTGCCACATTTTGTTTGCTGATGGATTATTTCATGCAATGGCATAACACAATGAGTTAAATATCAAAAGAAGCAACCTTTAACTTTTTAAACATAACTGACACCAGCGTGGAAAATGATGACAATATGGAAACTGCTTACACGAGATCAAAATGAGATACAGTACTATATAGTTGTAGTAAGGTCAAACATGAGAAATAATTTCACAAGCCAAAATGTAATACCGGTAAGATTAGCAGAACATCAAATACCATGCCATACTGGTATACATAACAAATCAATTCCAATTAGGTTGAGGTACAGCATTATTAGAGTAAGATACAGTACACTACTGGATATGAATATAAAGGGAAACTAAAAACTATGAAAATTATTTTCAAATATAACTATGTACTCGACACCTGATGAGACATTGCTTCATCCTAAATTCCCAGTGTTTTGTTTACAGGATGCAAATGCTGTCTCGGCTATAAGCTGATGCTCCACTCATCTACTGTGTGTGAAGGTGAGTGACAAGTCACTTGTCTACATGTGAGTGAGGAGTAAGTTACCGGTATATGGTACTTGCATGAGAATGATGACACTGAAAGCTTATTTGTTCACTAATAACATTGTGAGTGAAAAGAATAATAAAATAAGATCCTCAAAAAAATAAGTAAACTGGTATATTATTAGAAATGCTGTATTATTTTAGCAGACAGTGTTCTGTTATTGTACTGTAGTGTAATGGTACAATCATCAAACAAGGAGATGTCACGGTTTTCAGTATGATTAGTTCAAACAGTGGTATCTGGCAACTTATTGGGAGCCCAGGCTGGCTGAGGCTGCCCAGTGAGTGACCATTGGGCTGGCCGCCATTGGAGTAAGATGGTAAGGTATATTAACGAACTGCCGAGCCAAATTTCTTGTTTCCCAGCTTATTTCTGGCATTCCCTTATATTTTCACAGGTAAATGGCTTCAAGACAGGTTACAAAAGTAAAAGAACTACTGCATATCCCAATCCCATGTTTGAAAGACAAACATAAAGGGAATTAATCATTGTGTGTAGAAGCCAGCACTGAGGGGGGGAGGGAGAGAGCTACAGCTGGCATTTCCTTGCTCACTGCTCTACTCTCTCACCAGCTCCAGCTAAATGGTAATGCAGAATTTTTTCTCTTATTTATTTTTTTATTCCTCACATTTACTGGTACAGTACAGTATATAATATTTTATGTACAAGAAGTACCGTATTTTATGGCATAAAAGATGCACATCTATATAAGACACACCCCCCATTTTAGCAGGGAGTATTTAGGAAACATACTTTAGAAGGATTTTCCTCCTGTAAACATAGTTTTCTTAAACTAATACATAAAGTACCAGTAAATGAGAGGAATAAATAAAAACAATACCAATAAATATGTTAAACAAAAATACTGTTTTGCCAAAACAATAAATAAGAGTCAAATGAAAGCTTAACACAATTGCCAATTGCATACACTCCGTTTCACCATAGCAACTCAGACCAGCAGGGACGCTACCTCCGCCAAATCCCTCCCACACTCTGCACCCTCCTGCCGCTCCTCCACTGAGCCAGGTAACTCGTGGGCAAACAAATTTAATTACCTTTGTGCTTCCCCTTGTGACAATTATTTCTTTTACTTTTTTCATAATATGTATGTTATGTTATGTTAGGTCAGGTCAGTGTTTAAGTGTGTATATAATTGAGTAAAAATAAATTAAAAGTTACGTATATCTACCCAAAAATACGGGTTGAAGAACACCATAACACCTCACAGCTTGGCCCAGTAGCCTGGTGAGTACAGTGATGAGTCTAAATTAGCTACAGACACAAACATGAAAAGAAAGTTATCTGTAAATCTTCATTTTTATCAGGTATTTGTAGATTTAAAAATAAATGTTGCGGGTATGACATTAATAGATACCCTGTTGTAATGCTTGTAAGAGTTCAGAAATGGTTACTGCTTAGCTACCTCTGAAGAGTTGTGTGTATGCCGTATGGATGATAATCGTCTTAGGTTATCATCATCAGTGCAGTACAGTAGTTATAAATCCAGCTTTTATATTTACAATACATAATTATTTTTTAATAAATTAAAAATCAAGATGATAATAATAATAATAATAATAATAATAATAATAATAATAATAATTATGCGCTTAAGTAAGCAATAACAATTTTAATTCTGGAGTGCGTTAGGTATAATTTCGACTACTGGAGACAGCAACTCGGGGATTCATTAGCCTACGGTACACATCAACTTCACACATAGAATGCAGGCAGAATTTTTTTTGCCATTTTTCAGACACAAAGTGTCTTATATGCAGTAAAATACAGAAAGTTCTTCCACACAGCCAGCTCGCAACATAGTTCAGGCAATCATCCAGCTTTGCCACGCTGCCACACATCTATGGGTCATGGATAAATGGCGGTGATGGTGGTGGGTGTGTGTGTGTGTTGTGACGCATTTAAAGCCCAGTAACCCACCGTCTCATAGCACATTTACTTCCCACATATGTTCTATATTTTTCTTATTTTACAGTTTAATATTGTTTTCTATAATTTTAAGCCACATTAGAGTACGGGTATTGTAATGATTTTTTCACAACTTTTATAGTTTTATTCCATGTAACAATATAAGAGGCTGCTGGGATGGCAAGTTGGCCATATGGTTTATAGCCAAGGCCTTGGCTAGAACCACCTCCATACACATTCACTCCTCACACATATACGTACATACCCACGCTCTTTGTTTTCTTGTTTTATATCATATTTTCTTTATTTTTAAGCCACATTAGAGTATTGTAATTATTTTTGACAAATTATATAGCTTCATTAATGCAACATGAGCCTGATTTTCATCTCTCAAACCCAGAAAAAACTCCCCCATCCCCGGAATTTTCCAGGAATCGGGAAAATTTTATCGGAATTTTCTGGAATATGTGCCTCTCGGAATATGTAAAGGTTGTGAAAATACAGCATTACTTCAAGTTTTGTTGTACTCTCAAACATGTAAACATGTACAGTATAGTTAATGTTGTATGCAAACATTTGTGGTGTTCTTCATGTTTATAATTCATTTAAAATAAAATTACTGTATACTGTATAATAGTTTAACCAACACACTCACCAAGTTTTTATTTGTCCCAGAAAGTGTACAACAATAAGAATAAAAAAAATTAAAAAATACTCAATACATAAAGAAATCACAGCTAACATTTTAATAAAAAGGAAGGGAGGAGAGAGCTTGGGAGTGAAAGTGGGTCCCATGAGCATGACTGCCCATTAGGGACAGTGTGGATACAGCACACTGCATACTAAGCCTTTGGTACACAAGGAGGTAGCATGACCAGTATTACACTCGACTGCATTTCTTTCCCCAAGTTGTAAACTTAGGTGCCCATTTACAGCTGGGTGAACTGGGAGTGCCTGGGGGATTGAACCACCAACACCATGAAACAGGAGGCAGGTGCTGAATTGGTATCCAAGTGCATCCCTAAAGCCCCTTACACATTAAACTGTACACGGCACACGTCACACTTGCTCATTACTGATCATGTAATAATTTTAATGCTTTTAGATAAAACATATTTTGCTAAAGTATGTATTTAAAGACAGTAGCTACGTGAAAAAAAAAAGTGGAAAGCCAATACCAATAAAAAATCCTGAAATTCTTTAGCATATGCTGTCCAAGGGATGTCCCAAGTACATTCCATATATGTCTAGCATTCTTGGCCAGCATCCCAAGAGTTGGCTCATCCACCCCACCCCCCACTCCATCACCAGCTCACCTAGTCTACCCAGGTATCTAAATATAACCATCATACCTAATGTTCTGCTCAGCTTTGGACATTACCTACCCATACAGTTCAATGAGCAAAATCCAGAGCTGTTTCATGCCTGATTAACAAACCCAATTACATCCACCATCAATTAACCTTGTACTGTACGTACATGTATTCAAAACTTGTCATACTCAACCTCCATGTACCTGCACTGTACAGTACTGTACGTACTCTCTTTCCATTGCCAGACAATAACAGACCCCATTTCATGTTTCCTACTAAATCTATAATAATAAATTACTTCATACATAATCTTGGATACAGCAAAGGTATGGTATCAAAATTTTCACAAAACAGTAATATAATTTCAATTGGCACTTCACACTAGGAGAGGCGAAAATATGAAACAGAGCAAGGGACTGCTCTATAAAAGGTCAATGTAACAAATATACTTACTTCCTATAGAGAGATGTTAATGAAACAAATCAACTCAGAGCTACCAGAACACAACAAACATATACTACAGAGAAAACTATGAGGGTCATACAGTTGGTGTTTGTTTTTTGTTTTTGTAAAAATATATCATTTAAATCAGGGGTAGAAAACTGTTGCCCCTGGACCATTTTTGGCTTGCAAGGGTCTCAGGGTGGCCCGCGACCATACTTTAGTTCAATAATTTTTTTTCTCCTTTATGGAGAGACTCAGGGGGACGACAATTTGTCAATAAATTTAGATGATATATTTACACTATTATAAGACTATCTTATAATAGCGGAACTGCATTGGATGATGTTCCAGGGTGGCAGTCATACCCATGAAATCTGTGTATTATTATTAACAGTGAAAATTATAGGTGGCCCCTGAAGAACTCTTATACAGTACAGGTACAGTACAGTAATTTCAATCTGCCCCTCTGACCTCAAAAGTTTCCCCACCAAGTTAAATAAAAAGAACATACAAAAAACAGCCAAACCGAGCAGCAGAGTAGTACCCAAAGCCACAACAGATGCCATGTTATTCGCCTGTATTACCAAGTCTGGATCTCACTAAGCACAACACCGGGATCCCAAACCCCCTACAAAGATGACACATCTTATGACCTGCATTGCAATATCCACACTGATGCTTTTCCCTGACTGCTTGGTCACATTACCTGCACTATCGCTTGCAAGCCTTTTTCCAGACATTACGGATCAAAAATAAGTTTAAAAAGAGTTGCAATATTACCACGGTGGAGTAATCACATGTCTAAAGAAGTAATAAAAACTGCAATGGCTGACTTAGCAGTAATCAACTTTAGTCACTCATTAACTGAGCACATCACTCAAGAGAAAAGAAGAGAGACTTGCATGGTCTCACACGGAACTTTTGAACCATTTTGTAGATTTTGAATTTCTGTTTTTGTTTTACTGTTAAGCTTTCTTCCTTAACAATAAGTTTTATAAATGAATCAATGTTTTTTAAAGTAAAATTTTAGGAGGTACAGTTTGCCTGTACACTTAACTGCAACAATTTTCATTCTACCTTATAACAACAGTGCACTGTACAGTACAATACAGTACTGTATACAGGTACTGTATGTACTTTACAATATAATAAATAATAATGGTTGCCCCTTGTGTAACGAGGATGGCTGGCCGTGCACGACCCAGTGTCAAGGAATAGTCTGAGAAGATCGGACAACTCACCAACTGTAGTGTCTAACCATTACCCCGGAATACGTTCCGCAAATCAATTAACATCCAGGTTCCCAATTACTGCTGGGTAGACAAAGGCAAATGGCATAAAGAAACTTGCCCATAGTTTCACCCTGTCCAGGGATCAAACCCGGGTCTGCTCCCTTGCGAGGGGATCATGCTGACCATTACACCACTATTCTGTGAAAATTGTACCTCTCAGGTTTACAAGGAGGCATGTTCAGTACTGTACTGTAGTGTGACTGTCAATGGACTCAATGCCTTCACTTCTCAAACATAAAATTAGAATTCCATTCACAGCTGCTGAAGTGGGGGTTTCCTAAGCATGAACCAGTAACCCTTAGGACAGTATTAAGTAAATGCTATACAGTACAGTATATTCACTCAGCCACCACACCCCACAAATATTAGTAATATAAACAACTCAACACAGCAGGCATTTTTAGAACACCAACCACACAGAAAACTTTAGAATCATTACTGCACCTTCCATCTTCCGCTGAGAAGTTTCGACAACACCACAGGGACTCCATTCTCTCTTCTCTCGGGAAGTTTCATCATGTCGTTCAAACATAGAAGCTCTTTTGTTGACAAAGAACTTGTTCAAGCTCAGGGAAGGGAGCGAGTTCCTCTTGTTATTCCTCATTGCACACATTGTTTTTCACTATTTAAGCACAAATTTCACCATACACTTTTATAATTTTCAAAATATTTACACTCACTCAAAGGTTATCTAACACCACTTTGTAGATGTTTTCTATTCATTTCATTTTATTACAAAATATTAAGCACAATTCTTCAATGCACTTCATCTCTAAGGAAACAATAATTACAATGAATAAACCTACTATATTCATTGCATTTTGAAAACACCACGATTTTACACTAAATATGGAAATATAAATAAAACTACCGTATCTGTATCAAGTATTTGCAGAATAATAATAATAATGTCTGCCCCGTGTGCTTAGGTACATTACAGAAGTCACTACAAACACCACTAATTAGCACGTCATGTATGTACCATAAGTAACAATACTGAGGAAGTACTGTAGAGCTCAGGAACACTGAACAACTTACAAACCACACTGGCAAATCTTTACCCAGATATAAGATCCAGTAACACTGTACATTAACAATGGAATTTGCTTATCATTCCATCCTAGACCAGGAATCAATATTTCTGACTTGAACCGTGAGAATAGTAACCACGATATCACCAGCTGATTCAATCCATATTGTGAAGACAAAATTTCAGGTAGAGCAGATTGATAATTGTAAAGGTAAATTTAACGCTTTCATGCTCGATGCTTCCGCAAATAATGTAGAGTAATCATTTCATATAACGGAATAGGGCAGGCATGTCATACCGCAAAAGAGAGGATTCCACTAAATCAAATACTGCACAGTTATACAGTACCTCTTGCAGAGAGGTGGCTATGCTCATAAAATCCACTACAATCTCGGAAATTTCCTTGTCAGAGTTAGATTTAAATGAGAATAGATTCTAGCCATCATTAACACTCTCGGGATCGCCTGAAGTTTCTTTTATGAGCCGGTCACTCACTCTGTTCGGAACCAGCTGAATGACAAGACATCGTAGAGAAGATATTTTTTCCCGAGCGCTATTCGTGGCTAAGATATTGTTTAATATTTATTCAAATGATGTTTTCCTGCATGAAAAAAGACTGGAAATCACATGAAACCCTAAAAAAAAAAATAATAATAAATAAAAGCCATTTTGGTGAAAGTAAGTGAAAAGTGAGAGTTTACTGTTGATTCCTCTTCCTGCTGTACCGACATCATTACATCAATCAGTATAAAATTCACATGGCAAAAAAGAGTAAATCATGAGACAGACAATGGTGTAATCAGAAAAAAAGATAACATAAAAGATAACGGAGTTACAGAGTAAAATGTAAAAATAAGTGGTGGTTAAGCATGCAGTCGCTGAAATGTTTATACAGTACAGTACAGTGGTCCCTCGGTTAACGAGCGCCTCGGTTAACGAGATTTCGGTTAAAGAGTTACCTTCCATAAGATTCTTAACTTCGGTTAACGAGCAATCCCTCGATTAACGAGTTTCTTACGAGCCGACCTGAACATGTTTTCGCTTGCATTTGGCGGTCCACCAGCTGTAGTATTAGTCCACCAATACAGTAATCGGTTCTAGGGCTTAAATTCTTTACCATTTTAGCAAATATCAAGAAGTTTATACTATTCAATAATTTTAAAAGTTTAATATTAAATTTTTAGTCATTTTAACAATTATTGAACACAATTGAAGGTGATGAAACTAGTTTTATGCGTGCCATCCAGCCTCTCAACACACCATACAGGGGTCAGTCTTTGTGTCTTTTCAGTGGAGGTAACATCTTGCTTGAGACTCTCTTCAACTAAATGCTTTTTTTCTGTGTTTGCAAGGAAATTATTGGTCATTTTGAAATATATTTTACATATTGACAATACTTAATGCAGTGCAGTGTTGATTTAAAAAAAATAATCTTGAATTACACCAAGAGAACTAAAATTTTATGGGTGAAATGGCGCCATGGGGTGACTTCTCTTCCACCCCAATGCCTTCTCTTCTCCCTTCTCCTCCACCCCCATTCTAATTCCCATCATCATCATCATCATCATCATCATCATCATCACCCAGGAGCCTTCTACATACACACCTCAAAGTAAGTGTACTTTTCTACCTTTTTTGTTGAATTTAGGCAATTTTCGGTGAGCTGGAACCAATTACCCAAAACCCATTGAAACAATGGTTTCGGTTAACGAGTTTTTCGGTTAACAAGCAACCTTCTAGAACGGATTGTGCTCGTTAACCGAGGGACCACTGTATGTACTGTATACAGTACACATTTTTTCCTTCCTGGTTTTTTGTTGAAATGTTTCAAAATTATTTTTTATCATGGATTATAACTGTACACCTTCTAAGGAAGAGAAATAGACCAGTTTAGAAGTTTCTGTGAAAAAATTTAATTTTGGCAATAATATTTCCAAGTACTACTCAGACGAAGTAGACCTGGTATACGTACGACAATGCTGATGCCGTTATGAATACATATCAAATAAGCACAATATATTCATTATAATTCACCATACCCATATGCATGCCTCTACTGCACTACAATTCACTATCACTTATTATTTTTCCAAGCTAGGCATATATATTACGACATGCTTTTGTGTGGTACTGTATATATGACTTGTGAGTAGCCATTTCACCAATGTCTCATAAATAAAAAATATTTTATTTTCATTATAAATAATTCATTACACATCACTTTATCACTTCATCAGAATACATATCAGGGTTGTATGAGATAAATATCTTGAGATGGTGGCACAAACGCCATGGTGGCCATTTTTAAATTGCAGCTGGGACCAAGACACTCCCTGCTTACTGCGGCAGAATCATTACTGGCACTTATCTGTTACTGCATGGTTCACTACACATAGACGAGTTGCCACCTAGCCTTAATACCCAGTTCCATGCAAGAGAGTGGCGTGACAAAAATGCCATTAAAATTTGAAGTAATTCGACCGGAAACTTTTGGAGAAAATACAAAAAACACCATACAAGTACAATACTGGCATGTCTGATCGTGAGGCAAAAGTTTCTTTTACATTAAATCAAAATGCCACTTAGGAGTGTATGATCCCAAAAATAATAATGTGTTGGAGGAATTTACAGTACAGTACTGTATTATGTTATGAGAGTACAGTACAGTAATAGGATTGGCGGAATGCGGCCGCATTAAACTCTTGAATATTCCATAGATATGTAGCTAAATCTTTTTATATACTACTGTACTGTACAGTGATATTCCCGTCAGCCAGAATAGTTTGTACAGAGCTCTTCCGGGGATAAGAGATTTCCGGGTACTGAGAAGCCTCTCTGAATTTTGGCAGAAATTTAGCATTATTTCATTTCGGAATTTGCTCCAGACCCAGAAAAAAGATTAGAGAAAATTTCTGGAAGTTTGCTCCGAATTTTCAACCTCATAATTTGCTCTCAGACCTGAAAAAAAATTTGAAGACATTTTCTGAAATTTTCGCAGAAAATGCACCTAAGTTTCAACTTTGAAAACTCATCCACAGACCCTGAATTGAGAAAATTTCCTGAAAAAATTACGAGCCAATTTCAACTCCGGGTATTGTGAAAGTCTACCCTCAAGTCCATGCTTTATTACTTTATTAATAGAGCATGGACTTGAGGGTATACGGTCATATTTTTAATAAATTTGTTTCTCATCTTTTGTGAGAGGTTTTCCAATTATTATTTATTTGTATGTGTTTTGTGTGTCTACACACACACACACACACATATATACAATACTGTACAGGTAAAATAAATAATTGTTCTAGGGTCAAACAAAGAACTTCATAAAATATATATATATATATATATAATTATTTTTTTTTTCCTCCCCCCAAGTATTTTAACCGATATGACTCCTCCAATTACCAACAATATTTTTCATTCAAAATGGACAAGGCTTTGAAGTGGAAGGAATTTTAACCTTTTTTGTGTTAATTTGGCTTTTCAATTTCAATTAGGAAAGTTCATGGGGAGATATTCAGTGCTTACTTCTTATTTAACCAATTAGCAGTATTGTAGATGTTGAGTGATACTCGCACACAAGCACTTACTCGGATTTTTGGCGAGTATTTTTTTTTTTACCTTTTGATTTAAAGTTTGGTTCTTTAGGTTCCTTTTATTGTTTTCTTTTTGTCTTGTTGGATTAGGTTAGGCTTATATATGTCTAACCTAACCTAAGCTAACCAGAGAAACTAGAAGGACCTAACCTAATCTCCCATCCAAGCCCCCCCTGGTGTGTAAACCTAACTTAACCAAATAAGACCCACACTAGAAGTACTGTAAATGGCTAATATACAACTCATGGCCATCAGCGGTTCGGTAATTATGGGGGATGTTTTTAGACAGTTTCGTACATTGATTACTTTCAGTTCTATTAATTTTCTTGCATAAATGCTTAGTTTTCTAGATATAGGCGAGTGAAGATACAGTATAGGATAGGTTAGGTGGTATTATTATCGTTTAGGTCATCCAGTGAATTTAAGTAGGTTAGGTTAGGTTGCATTTGAGAAGCAGCACTGACCGATTTTTACTGGTTAGGTTTAGGTAAGGTTCCAAATAGGTGGATGACTGAAACGATAATTTTACTGGTTAGGTTAGCATATGATTTCAGCCATTTTTCTATTTTTTTTTCCAACGTAATACATTATCCTCTAATAAAATCAGTGAAAAATGGGTATTTTTAATCACATTTTCCATGAATACCAGAAGGTGTTCACGATCCAAATAATTACCCTGTAAATATCACCCCTACTTTGTGTTATCCTTAGTAAATGTTTATACAGTACATGTACAGTATATGTATAAATGTGGTACTATGTATATGAATATTTAATTAATTAAAGGAAAAACAGATGAACATGACTTAAAAATCCTCTATTTGATAAAGCTGCACATGTGAATCCAAAAATACCCACAATAACACGATGAACTATGAACTTCTATAATCAGAATTTCTGCGATGATACTTAACTGCTGTATAAACTTTTATACAATGAGAATATATCTATGGATAAGATTGCAATATGCCAAGGGTGATTGGCTGATGAAAGGCAAATAAATCCAGTGGGGTGGGTAAATCCAGTCAAGATCTCTCACTATAAAATGATTGTTGCCATTTCCTACTTTTTTAACTTCACAACATCCACAAAGTATAGTTAGAATTCGATTGACGGTGATAGTCGCACGACAATGCCCGAGCACAAGTGGTGGAAGGACGAGGGTGTAGAGCACATGGAAGCCGCGACACACTGGGGCCAATAGGAGCTGCGGCACCCACGGCCGCCCAGGCACAGTGCCAAGTGCCCCAGCTTTACCCTGGCATCCCACCCTCATCCTGCCATCACACTTGCGTCACTCCCTGTACAAAAAAAACATGCTGGTATTGGGCCCAGAGCCAAGAGTGACGTGAAAAATGCGTCTTGACACTACAAACAAAATTTTATGCTAATTCATATAGCAGTGAAGATTACTTATACATTATTGCTTCCATGAGCTCAACATTGCAACTAGATGTTATAGAAATAATAAAAATAAGCAAAATGATACAATAGGTAAATATAAATGAAATATGTTTACCTGTACCAGCAACACAAGCCCCCGTTCAACAGACGCGAGGGTCGCATCAACACTGTTTGGTGTTGACGTGACGGGGTGGGGAGGGTTGATGTTGTTGTTTTGTTTTTTTTACTATTTACATAATATACATAAATATTACATATTAATATATTTGTCCGTGAAATATTTGGATGACTTTTCTTGTTAATTATTAGTTTGAATGACACTTTTCTTACCCTGGGGCTTTCAGCCGTTACACAAATTTTCTCTTCACCATCCACTCATTAAATTCTACTTCCGTTTGCCTATTACAGCAGCAGCTTGTGTTATCTATTATTGCGCCTCAACAACGAAAGATAGTTTCGTTGAATTGTTGGCCATCCTTGTTCGAATTGCCTTACTATTGTTGTAAACCTGCACTGTTTATATACAGCACATTATATTTATGTCTACTTTTATCCTCTTCACCACTGATCGGCTCGTTAGCCGCTTGGGCGATCGGTCACGTCTCTGTTACGCACTGTTGGCAAGTTCTGGGCATGCACTGGCTAACGAGCCGACCAGTGGTGAAGAAGATAAAAGTTAAAAAGTAAAAGTATTGTCTCGATTGCCCTGCACTGTTGGGAACTTTTGTTTGTTTCCCACAGTTTGAATGTACTGTTCGTACAGTACTCCTGGTAAGCTACCGACACTGCAGGTGAATGCTAAATTAAATTTCTTGGTGCTTCCCTAAATTGTACGTGATCCCGTGCCTTCTATACTGAGTTTGCCTTCTCTTGAGAGTAAATGATAATAATAACAATAAAGTCATTGCAAACTCCATGTCCATTTGATGACTGATACTGATCTTCAGACAATTGCATCGGGCCTGAAATTCAGAAGAAAAATTAATTAAAAACTGTAAGTTAATAGTACATGTGACATCTTACTGTACAATATTTGAATGATTTTTTTATATACAATTTCACTTCAGGGTCACCTTTTATCTTATATTATAATTTATAGGACAAGTGCACATATTGGATTGGTGAATGAAATGTATTATACTGTATAGTTGACTGAAGTGTTGTTATTATTGTGATAACATATCTGTTCCAACACCACCGTTATGGCGGATTGGTAAAGCTGCATTCTGTACATAATGATTATTCAATTCAATCAGATTACCGTCGTCATATGTGAGGGTTGGCGAGCGACCAAGTCCTCCACTCTAAACGTTCTCGGGCAGTTTTTGCCAATCCCCAAAGGGTTTGTATCACTCTGGGGACCCAGTTTTTAATTTAATTGATCCATCCCAGTTTCTGCTTTCCCCTGGCCCTCCTACCCTCAACTTTGCCCATTAATATTTTTGTTAGTATTCCATCGTCCCTAATTACACGACCAAAGTATTTACATTTTCATTTTCTTTACATTTTCAGATTTCCCTTTTAGTTCTTGCTAATCTTAGTACTTCGTCATTTGTTTTCCTGCCAGTGTAGTTTATTCTTAGCATTCGCCTTTAACACCACATTTCAAAGGCTAAAGCTGCCTCCCGAAAGCTGGGAATGTTGTACAGATGCCGAAAATAGCTACTCCACTCCCGAGCAATTGCTTAAGTATATAAGGGATTCATTCGTCCTAACTTGGAGTACTGCTCTCATATGTGCGGTGGCTCTTCTTCTGTTCAACTGTTAGATAAGGTGGAATCAAAGGCATTTCGTCTTATTAACTCTCCTCCTTTGGATGATAATCTTTCTTCCCTTTCTCTTCGCCGCAATGTTGCTTCACTCTCTCTCTCTCTTTTACAGGTAATTTAACGGGCAATGTTCGGTGGATTTGGCATCCTGTGTACCGCTGGCAAGGCCGTGGGCTCGTAACACTCGTCTTGTCCACGGTGCCCACCGTTTCTCTGTGGATGTCGGTCACACTAGAATAACCCGTTATAGTACATCCTTCTTTCCTCACTTAGCCAAACTGTGGAATGCTCTGCCTTCTTCTGTGTTTCCATACTCATACAATCTGCCTCACTTCAAAAAGGTGGTTTTCCGGCATCTTCGTGGTGTTGATTAACATAATTTATTGATTTATTCTTTTATTTTTATTTTTTTACTCTTATTTTTTCGATGACCTGTGCCCGGGTGGGCTATTCCCCGATGACCTGTGCCCGGGTGGGCTATTCCCCGATGACCTGTGCCCGAGTAGGCTATTCCCCGTAAAAAAAAAAAACGCTTTCTAGTGTTTACTGATAAAAGTGATGACATAAGTGCCACAAAGGTCACTAGGGATGACAGGATGTTTTGCTGGAAAGTGGTAGGTACGAGTTAAGTTAAATCTCTGCGAGTATTCACTTGATATACATTCAAGCGTTCAAGCCGTCATTGAGAGTATGTGGAAATGAGCCATTGAACTGTTTACTATAAAAATTCTGAAATGCACAAGTAAGAAGGAATAAAGGCTTTTATATACCCAACTCTACATAAAGAGCGAAGAGAGTGGAAGGACTTGTAAGCTCTCTAACATTACACCCAGACATAATCAGTAATCAGCAACGAGCAACCTAGAAGCAGAGACAACACGACGAGTAAGTTGTAAATAGAGACGACGACCTCCTGCGATTAGCAACCTTATGTAGATTGGATTCACGATATCTATAATAATCCACTTCTAACAATGGTCAGTTTGAAAGGGAACTTAAACTATCTTTGGTCAATCAAAATAAGCATTAAATGATCCAAGCAGTCTATTAACAAGAGACATAAATATTAGTTTGAAAGAATGACTGCCGATATGCCAAATATGATCAGCACTATTGTACGATGTATGAACACTCAGCAAATAGCAGAAGAAGGCTAGAGGCTTTTGCAGTACGTATAGTGCTACAGGGAAATATTAAGAGTAAGATTAGTCATATAAATAAATGAAGAAGTACAAAGACTGACTAGTGCAACGAAAAAAATAATTGAGATAGGGGATTTTGACACGGAATATTAGTGAGTAATCTTGAGGATAGGAGGCCAAGGGAAGGCAGAGATCGGGATGGAAGATGAACCAAATTATAATCTGTGTCCCTAGTGAGACACTAAACAGGGAGGATTCGTATTAGCCTCATTGTTATGTACAGAAATGTTGGTGTCTGGAGAGGGGATGTTACATTACCTTTTAAAGAAGCGCAGACTATGGATAGTGCCGGTGTCCTTTTGTGACATAGTGATGTTTAGATGTAACGCCTTGTAATCAACAGACAGAGCGACACCAAGAGGCCGAGCGAGAGCCTTCAGATATTCTCTCTCCTCGTCAGTGAAGTCATGGTACGAGTAAATGAACAAGGAAAACAGCAAGACTCGGCGGTGGTGGAGTCCCTGTAGCAGCTTCTGCACACCTACGCCTGTTGACACAGCCACTAACTGTAACTAACTGTATACGTGATGCATATTATGTTCGCATACTGAGTTAAGTAATGATAATACTGCATAGGGTCATAATGTCATTACTGAAGATCCATTAAAAGTATTTCAGCAATAACTATCCTTGGTTTACTTAGCATCAATTCACAAACTCGAAATTATAAAAACGCGTTGAATTGTAATGTTCTTAAATTGTTATACTTCTACGAGTATCTACAGCATCTATTTACTATGTATATATAGTAATATGATACTGTGTCCACTTATATTGAATCTTGAATCTCTTAAATTCTTACTTCTTTTACTCTTTTTACTTTTATCCTCTTCACCACTGATCGGCTCGTTAGCCACTTGGGCGATCGGCCACGTCTGTTACGCACTGTTGGGAAGTACTGGGCATGCACCGGCTCCTGAATATATCTAATAATAATAATAATAATAATAATAATAATAATAATAATAATAAAAATAATAATAATAATAATAATAATAATAATAATAATAATAAACGGTTTATTAATAGAGTTGCAGCCGGTGGCTGAAAATATACAGACTTACATTTGATTTAGACATATTGATATAATATGCATTGAATACATTTATAGGGCTGTGCAATACATAAATCAGGAGTTGTTTATTATTTTAACAATAGACGGGATGGTGCTATTCTTATATCTATCGGTGCGGGCTCTTATGGTCAAGTCTGGTCTTGAAACAGCTCACACTCGGTGCCGTCACAACACTCTCTGGCAGATTGTTCCAAGAGTTCACAACTCTCACTCCGAAAAAGTTACCCCTCACAGTTTTCTGGACTTGCGGCTTCTTCAACCTTGAGCTGTGACCCCTTGTGGGGCGAGCGTCCGCCAGCTCCAGGTGTGGGCATTTGACTGATTAGTGCCCCGTGAGATGCTTATATACCTCATTTAGGTCGCCCCTTGCCCGTCTGTAGTATAAGCTAGGTAAGTTCAGGCGCCCCACGTAGTTGAGGTGCCGAAGTGCAGGCACCAGTCTGGTGGCCCTCCTTTGAACATTTTCAATTAATCAATTACGCTACTCCAAATTTTTTGTCGCCATTATAACCTTGTCTGAAATATTTTATGTGATTTCAAGAGGGGAGACATATTGCTTTTCCTAAGTTTCTTCTACTTGCAAAATTTTTTGAGAACATTTCAAATCCGATATGACCAACACGAATTTGTTCAAGCACTGTACAATGTACATTCAGGAGCCCGAACAAGCACAGTACTTACCAACAGTGAGTAACAGAGAGCTAATCGACCTCCGAACCGGCTAGTAATATGACAAGTGTCGAAGAGGATAAGTCAAATTACTCAATAAACACACACCTCACTCAATAAACACACACCTCACTTAATAAACACACACCTCACTCAATAAACACACACCTCACTCAATAAACACACACCTCACTCAATAAACACACACCTCACTCAATAAACACTTATTCGTCAGAAACTCACATCAGACCATACTCTCAAATAAAGTACAGTACCAAACAAACAAATAATTCACGAAATACATAATATTTTTTAGTGTAATTTTTAATGTAAATATTTGACATGAAACTTATTATGGTAAAGGTATGACTTGCTCCATAAAATATATTTATGAAGGATCTTGTAATCCCTACCGAGATAACAGGAATTGCAATGTTCTTGTTTTTTTTTTTTTTAATTCATCGGACCATCCATAAAGTTAACTTTCGGAGCGAGTACCTCAGTTTACATGATGAAACAATGGTAGTGATGAGATGGAACTTACAGGTGAGATGTGTTTCGTGAAGGTTCAGAGTAGTACAGTTATTAAAGGTGGATGGTACCAACTGCTGCACCACGTTACAGCACCAGTAAGCGTCGTTGTCAGTGAGGCCACACTGAAGGGCCAACGAAAAAGTTCCTATGTTGTCCATTGGTAGGGATGGCAGGCTAGCTGGACTGGGGCGGCCCGATTCAACCAACAACAAACCTAAGAATAAGGTATGGTTATGTAGTATTTTCACTTCATTCTAAGAAACTCTATAACTCTTCGATGTGTTTATTGATATCTTTGATTACTGCCTATCGTCAAACTGATCATGATAAAAATTCCGAATCAATTAAGTAATTAAGCATATGTGTGAAACATGCTAGGGGTGAGGCAGATACTGATTTACGCAATTACTTTTATGAACATTTTAGAACTTATTAGACAGTAAATGATCTTTGGCCTATGAGTTTATTGTGATTCACATTATTCAAGCATCATTCAGTCTTGCTCTCGTACATGGACATGCATACCGTGCATACATGTGTGTGTGTGTGTTTATGCATAAATAATACTTCAATAAACAAATTAGTCACGGATCGAGTATACAAGAGAAACTAACAAAAGGATCATAATTACAGAATGCACGCAGGCCCTTGATTCTAGGTAGTGTAGCTGTCAATGCTGGTAACTGCTCCGTGGTGCCCCGAAGCCTAAGGTCCCATAAGGTAGATGGCAGCAACACCATTTTGTCTTCTGATAACTGGCCATGAAACTCCTCCATTGTGCACTTTCCCCCATGTCTTATAGCGTGTAGGAAGTTGTCACTGCAACCGGAATCATTAAAGTGATACTGAATATGGAGTTTGACGGATATTTTCTGGTGAGACAATGCAACAAGCGTATCGTCAAGTCCAGGGCTGAGTGCTGGATCATTTTTTATAGTTATTTCTATAGTCTGAGGCATTTGGAAAGCAAGAACTGATGAGAGACCACAAATGTAGGAGCCATGTGTGGACCATGTACTAAAGTCAGCTAAAACTGTAACAACTTCTTTGATCATCTCGCCGTTCATTTTAGATTCCACCACATGGTGAAGATAGTTATCAATATTGATCTTTCCAGTCAACCTGAAAAGGGGATTGTCATCACCTATCAGCTGGACAATGTCATGGGCATATCTGTTCAGTTGGTGTTGTCCTATCCTGGCGAGGAGGCCCGTCATGTTGAACAGCACTGACTGGAAGGTGCTGTTGCCCTGAACCCAAGCACTTTTTTCTCCCTTGCATCCTGGTGACAGTACCTTCTTTATTACGTTGTTCACCACCATGGTAGCATCATGACCAGTGCTGGTGATACTGTAGTCAGCACTAGGACTCTTGCTGACAATACTGGGGTCAGCATCATGACTCATACTGGCAGCACTGGAGACCAGATTAGTTTCACTTAACAACCTTCTAACAACACTCCTGCTTACACTATATTCCTGAAATCTGAGATGCAAGAATGACCAAATCCATCGAGGAATAAGACCTTGCCGTGTTCGCTTCCTACCAAAATATGTGGACAGGACATCTTCATGAGGTAGGTGAAGCTCATCACACTTCTGCTTTAAAAAGTTTATGGTGTTTTCCTGGAGCTCATACTCCCTTCTCTGTATACACTGTAATGCCATGTAGTCGTAAAAAATCAAGAAGGAATTGCATTTTTCTTTGGGATTACAAACTCCTCTCGCCATCAGTCGGTCCACCAGTTTAGATGTCAAGAGTTCCCCTATTTCATAGTAAAGGTCTGTAGAGGTAGTGAGCGTGTTGAGTTTGTCAGGGCAATCCACCCACAACAGGGTTAAAATTGTTAATGTCAGCGGGTTGTTGAGGTGGTCGCCTAGGTGCTCTCTTAACTGGTAAAGTTTGTCATTAAGTTTGGTCTTGATGCTATATCTTTGGTTTACTTCACTAACAAGAGTGTTTATCATGTTTTCCACAAAGTTGAAGTGCAAGCTTTGGGGGATTCCCTTAAGGACAAGGTGTAGGATGCGCTTACCTTGCGGTATAAGTGCAGTGAGTTGGTCTGCACTGCCAGGTCTTGTGGTCAATAGGACTTGCATATTATTGCTTGCCATACTCACAATATCTTTCACTAGCTTAAACGAAGCTTCATTGTACTCATCAAACCCATCAACTATGATAAGAATTTTGTTAGCTTTAATTATTTCTTTGAAAAACTCGAAGCTAACACCAGACCTCAGATAAGTTTCATGAAGTAGGTCTTGGAGCAGCTGGTCAAAGGTCTGAATGTTTGACCCTCGACACTGTGAATATAGGAGAACTTCTACCTTATCCAGGGATTGCATAACCTTAGGTTCTTCAGTCCACGTCTCTACCACAAACTTCAAGAAAGTAGTTTTGCCTATACCACCCTCACCTGTTAGCAAGAGAACGTCCGGTGATGAACCGTCACGACACTTAAAGCTGATAACTTCATTACATTTAACGACACGAACCTGTTGCGTCTGGTGCGGCCGTGCACACATCACCTCGTCTTCGACAAGTGTAGGTTCTGTGAAGAGAACACTTGGTTTAATTTCCACTCCGAGGTGCAGCCAGGGCACTGGATCTACCTGACATGTAACTGAGAATTGTGTACACAATTCATCCCAACTATTTTCCTTGATTTCTAGCTCTATTTCCCGTCTGTAAACTTCCATTTCTTTCTGAATTTCTTTCAAGTCTGCTGGTTCCCTAATCTTGGTTCGTAATCCATCAAAATAATTTTTTACCACTGACAATTTTACTTCAAGCTGGCTGCTCTGCTTGAAGACAGTATAAGCCTCTTGGAATGTGTCCTCTATGAGCTGCTGAAGATGAGTCAACTTGATGTCAAGAATATGCTGCGTAAAATGTTCGTTTTCATGTGATATTTCATTACGTAGCTTTTTAATTCTAAATAAGTTGTATTCCAGTGATGTTCCATCTGATGGTGGAGTCGTCCATTTGGTGTCGTTTATGTTTGCAAAACCACACACTTTCTGAAGGAGGGAATATAGGAGTGTAATGTCAAACTTATTGATATCAGGTATACTAGACTCAAGTTTTACTCTTTGATGGATATCAAAATTTTTCCTAAGCTGTGTGTTGCTATAGCCAAGGATATCGATGAGATACGTCTTGATAGGGTATCCTCCTTGGTAAGACAGTTGGAACACTGCACACAACGCGTCGCGGCCATATGTTTTTAATGCATGGAAGTATCTAAACCACAGAAGGTCGGGCGGTGGTACGCTGGTGGCAGACATGTTCTAGTCTGGCTTCTCAGTCTCTGTATTTCTTGGAAATCTTGATGTTGTCTCGAAGGAAACTAAAACATTTTAACAAGGCACCGTGAGTGTTATTTTAATATCAATTATTTTCATCATCAGATAAGTCACAATATAGTCTAGTGAGTACGATTTACTGCGTGTCTTGAACAATCACTGCTTCTTTGTTCTCTGATAAAGTTTCCTACTTTGTTTGTCCCACAACTGTCGTTGTTGACACCACTGATGTTATCCCTTAACGCTGTTGTTCACTGTTTGCTGTAACGATAGTAATAATTGTATAACATTATCATTATTAATCATATTTATAGATTAGCTAAAAAAAAGGTATATTATGTGAGCCGTGAGCCTCTTGACTCCTTTTTTTTTTTTACGGGAATTAGCCTACCCGGGCACAGATCAAACTACCCAAGGCCTGAGGGGGGGGTAAATACTGTGATGTTGTGGGGTACGTTATGTTTGGGTTCACACTCAGGATGGTTGGAGAAAGGAAACTCACAATGTGCTCTCTGCATACATGTTGTATAGGATGTACAATGCAGCTTGGTGCAGGGAAGGCAGCGTGGTTACAAGCTTGATGTAGAGAGAGCTGGTTGGTGAGGATGCTCAGAGGAGGACAGCTTGTGGGTCACCATGCTCGCCGGCGGGAGCGAGGACCGCCAGGCAGGCGGAGGAGGAGGTGTTGCTGGCTGGTTGGTGTAAGTAGAAAAGAGAGCGATCACCACGAGGTCAGGTCTTAAATAGCGGGGGGTAGGCGTGGCTTAGTAGTTGACCTCCGTGATGTATGGCGGCGCTGATTGACCCAGACCACGAGGCATACACTGGGGAATTCGCGGGGTCGGCTACGCAGCGACAAGCAGCGTTTGTAGGGGAGAAATCCACTACAATGTGATAACTTAAACTCACTGACCTCCACGGTATTCAGTTGTGTTAACTTGAGAAAATTGTAAAGTACTACTCGAGTGTACCAACATTTACTTATACAGTAAATATTATCATCCGTGTAAATGTAAAAGATTTAATACTTTTAAATACTGACTTGTAAATTACAAATAAATGAAGATGCGAACCAGTCGTAAGATAATTTGGAGGAGGTGGCACCAGTAACACTACGCACTACGGGAATCAACACGTTACTGATTCGCAGCAATTCAGTGAGATATCTGTGCTCTGGCTCAGAGCACAGTGCAGGCCTGCAGGCGGCAGAGAACTTGGGAAAGTCCATATGAATCGCATGGCGGGGAAACCCAGTTTACTTCTCATCCCAGAAATTATCCTCGCTAATTTGCATCGAGTGAATATTACCTCTGATAATTTAAGATTTGGAGAACATTAAATAAGCATTAAGTGGTATTTCCTGAGACAAGCATACAGTAAAGGTCCGTTTTATTTTTTTTCTAATCGGTTACCTAAATATGATTTCAGTTGGGTGAATATTCTACAAACAAAAAAATGGCGTGGAGAAACTGAACAAGATTCTCACTACTGGTATACCATGTTGAGAGGGTGCCGGTGAAGTCGGCCCCTGGCGACCGGTCCGACTAATTACCCAAATGTAGCCGCAATGAAGTCAAATGATGGTCGTACAAGCATAAATCGGGCTGTGAATCACTTCTCGATTATTATTTGGTGTCAAAGTCTCAAAAAATTGGTAAACTTAATTTAATCTGAGTTGTGTTGTTAGGTTAGGTTAGGTTAGGTACATGCACTTGATCTATTAACTCAGATTAAATTAAGTTTACCAATTTTTTGTGACTTCGTGACACCAAATACCAGTCGAGAAGTGATTGGCAGTCCGATTTATTCATGTAGGACCATTATTTGACTTCATTGCGGCTACATTTGGGTAATTAGTCGTACCCCCTGGCGACCTCGGCCCAGTGATCTTGGCCCACATACCACAAAATTTCCCCGTTTCGTCACCGTTTTTATAGCTTTTTACGGTCAGGATTTAAATATTAGGCTGTTTTTTCCAGTTATAAGGAAAGATAATCTATTTTTTTTATAGAAGTCCCTTAATAGGGGTGTGCCCATTTCGTCACCCCATTTTTTTTACCCCTTTCGTTACCGTTATCATCGCTTATAACAGTCGCCAAATAATCTAACTGTGATACATGACTATCGAACTTGACTGAACTCACGCACATAGGATTAATGGACCTCCAAAAACGAGAGATTAGCATGGTCAGTGACCCAGGAGGCATTCCTTTGATCATATATATATATATATATATATATATATATATATTCTTGTTCAACTGTTAGATTGGGTGAAATCAAAGGCATTTAATCTTTCTTCTCTTTCTCTTCACCACAATGTTGCTTCACTCTTTTACAGGTACTTATAACGGGCAATGTTTGGAGGATTTGGCATCCTGTGTACCGCCGGCAAGACCGTGGGCTCGTAACACTCGTCTTGTCCGCGGTGCCCACCGTTTCTGTGTGGATGTCGGTCACACTAGAATAACCCGTTGTAGTACATCCTTCTTTCCTCACACAGCCAAACTGTGGAATGCTCTGCCTTGTTCTGTGTTTCCATACTCATACAATCTGTCTCACTTCAAAAAGCTGGTTTTCCGGCATCTTCATGATTAGAGTGCCTGCAGTTGCTTAGCTTATACTACAGATAGGCAAGGGGAGACCTAATTGAGGTGTATAAACATCACAAAGGGCAGTACTCAGTCAAGTGTTCTTACATGGAGCTGGCAGACACTCTCCTCACAAGAGTATCACAGCTCAAGGTTGAAGTCACAAGTCCAGAAAACAGTGTGGGTAAACAATTTTTTTTTTTTTAATTTTTGAATTAGTTTTGGCCAAATAATTTTGTCCGGCTTAAGCAATATCCGCCTTAGCGGGTATCTGTAAAAGGACTTCAGTTCGGTTGGTCTAATACAGTGGAGAGCTTAGTTATTCTATCTCCCAGAACTAAAGCATGGTCACTTTGAGGCATTAGGGCAGATATACAGTTGTTAACACTGTATGTTTATGGGTTCACAGCTGATTAGCCTGGCTGTCTATTTATCCATATTACTATTACAGTACTGTAATATATTTTCTTATACCTGTACTTATTTATCATCATAAAAACAATAATATACACAGAGCGTTTAAAGATTTTATTAAATTAATGTAAACAAAACTAATCAACATTGTTATATTCTCCAGCTTCAAAACGAATAAAGTCCACAATATCTATGTTTTCTTCCTGAAGCACCTCACCAACAGTCTTCTCAGGGTCACTGAGAAACTCTTGATGAACCAGGAGTGTCTCATCATCAGGATCACAAGCCTTTGGGTCAGACAATGTTCCCACTGCTTTTGGATTCATACCTGAAACAAAAAAAAACCACACATACACAGTGAAAAGAGTGAAAGTGGGTTCCATAGTGTGAATACAACACACTTTATCTAAGCCTTTGGTACACACAAGGAGGCAGCATGGCTGGTGCTGTACTCAACTGGGTGAACTGTGAGTGCCCGGGGATTGAACCGCCAACCCGTGGATAGAACAGGAGGCGAGCGCTGTATCCTCTCGACTACAGTAATATCTCCATTAGCTGGAACAATTGGTGCAGAGCACTTCCGGGAATGAGAGATTTCCGGATAACGAGACGACTCTCTCATAGCTCGAAAAAAGTCCTTCATCCCCAGAATTTTCCGGGTAACGGAAAAATGTTCTCAAAAGTGGAAGTTCGAGATATTGTGCATTACATCACCTCTCGAACCCGGAAAAATATCCCTCATTCCTGGATTTTTCTGGGCATGGGTAAAATTTCTCGGAATTTTCCAGAAAATGAACCCCTCGGATAATCGTTCCCAAATCCAGAATTTTCCAGAAAATTACGGCTTTGGGAATTATTTTCCGAGAAAATTTCAATTTCGGCTATCACAGAGTTTCGGGTTTGAGGGATTCTGGCTAACGGAGACATTACTACTACCTTAGGGGGAGCGTTTAGCTGAAGCACAAAAATTTTTAATAATTGATTACTCAATATTAATTTCCTGTTAGCAATTAAGGACATCAGATCCATTGGTACTGTAACCCTGAATCAGTTCTGCCTAATCCCTAATACAGGTATCTAATTTTTCCCTTATATTCTTATCAATTTAAAAAATCCTACTTCTCCATAACTTCTTGTTAAATTACATTGAAATTCATGTGGAGTACAGTATAGGTAATTTAATCTTCTTGAACATGACATATAGATATTTCTGATTATTGCTTTCATATTGGGTGCATTAATTTTTTCCTAACTTACCATTTTTTCCTTAAAATATTTATAATGATAAATCAGCAAATACAGTATAAAGAAATCTACATATTACATCATGCACAGTATGTTATTCTACTACTTAGTTTTTGTTTTATTAGAATCGGCCGATAAATGGCCGAGCCTTGGGGATTTGAATGTTAGAAAAACTCGTTCTGGGATTCAAGCCGATAAAGGTGGCGTGAGAGCAACTCAGGATCGTACCTCACTCTCGCATGCTTGATGGGTAACTGATTCCCGTGACAATGGTCTCCTGTGGTTAGCTGGCTGAGAAAGGTGCCACATACTGATTTTTTCCAAGTGACTGGTATTTCTTTGCACCAAAATATTATTACTATAAATACTTTTCTACAGCTTTTCCATGTAAACAGAATGGCCTTCTAAATGAAGGAGTGAGGGGGGGGGGGGTTAGAATAATCATGCATAGCTACATAGATATTATGAATTACGCAATAAAAATACTTCAGCATATAGCCATAGGCAACAGCTTTCCTCAGGAATTTTTCTGAATATTTTCGTAATTTTCCAATTTTCATCGTATTTTCATCCGGACGCTCCCCTTAACTCATACTGATACTATATAATGTGTTGTCTTGTGTTTCCCAAAAAAATTTATATTAAAAAAAAATCCAGTATTGTGACAATTTATCTGGACTAAAAATACCAATCTTTCTCATATACTGTACAGGGGTACAAGACAACCCTCGAAGATCCGGACTAAAAGGCGGAACCACCTGTCTGAAAAAGCTGATTGTCCGTATCTTCCGGTGAATGTACTAAGTGTACATCTTAGTTACACAGGCCTAAGATGATCTTTGATCTGTTTTGGGAATGCTTCTTAGTCCCCAGAACCCCCAAATTTTGTCCGAATCTTCTGAAATCCAGATTTACCGGGTCCGAATCTTCAAGGGTTCACTGTATACCAAACAAAGTTCAGTGCTACACTATTTTTTAGATTCATTTTATACCAAAAATGCCCCTATACAGAACTGGCTGCTCACCAATTATTTCTGTATTGAGAGATAATACTGTACTGTCGTCAAGTAATTAGGGTAAAGGAAAATGGAGAAGACATATTAGTCTTCTTGTCCTCTCATGAGTAAGGGTAAAGGTCAACCTACCTATAACTACTGTACCACCTCGAGCTTTAAGTAATAACACTTCTCACCCATTGGGATCATAATAAAGGAGCAATGAGTATGAACAGTATTTTTATCAACTGTTAAACTTTTATGAATCAAATCTAACAGCATATTTACAAAGATTCTTACCTATAACATGTACACAGAGCTGTCTTGAAACTTCACTAAGTACACCTCGTGTCTTCAGTGCTAAAATCACACCAAATTTGCCAGTTACAAGATTTTCATCAGGTGTACTTGGATGGCTATAACTAAGCAGGTGTACCCCAGGGCCTCCTCTTACTTGCACAGCACGGGCTAAACTCATGTTTTCTCCAATAGAACCAATAGCAAGAGCCAAGTGATCTCCCAAGGTTTTCCCCTCGCTCGTCTCCAGTTGTATTAACTGTTCTTCTGATAAGGCAGCCTGAGAAAATTAATTAACTTACAACAATAATCTCCATCAATTAGTGTACAACTAAAATATATTATGGGCATCAATTGGGTTTCTCATATAGAATAAATCATATGCCAGCCATCTTAAAAGTTTCTGGTTAATTACCCAGTAACTCCCATAATAATTACTAAGGGTTCTTGTGCACTTGGAATGGACCTCCTAATGTCAGTCTGGGTTAATATGTTAACCCTTTTAGATAAACCAGTCATTCTCTATGTGAATACTGTATTGCAAATAAAAAAACTAGTAATGAAATAAATGTAATTTAAACATGTCTACTTTTTATATCTGGTAGTAGGCAGCTATCAAACAGGGAGGTACTACTGCCTGGGAAGATATTGGAAGCATTATGTGTTGTCCAATGGTAGACCCTGCTGCTATATGGCATCACAAAAATTTTGACAAAGTCCCAGGTTTCTGATCTGACTTTCTGCCTCATTTACACACAATTGCAGGGTCTCAATTGTTTCTCTTACTTTGACAACACAACTTACATATACTGTATTGTTTCTCACTATTCTATTTTTTCAATTGTTTTATTTAATATTATTATTATTAGTATTAGTAATATATTTTTCGCCCCCAGGCCCTGACGTGGGTCATTGACCTGTGCTCTGGTGGGCTAATCACGTAAAAAAAAAAAAAAAAATAAATTGTGTTCAAGATTCTTATAAAATAAATGGATAAAATAAGCTTGTCCGAGAGGAGCCTATTTACCATTTTTGTGTGTGTGTTTTTACTATGTACAGTAACCCCAAAATGTATCATCAGCCTTGGGTTTGATGAGATTCGAGGCTTCCCGAGCAATGTTACTCGACCAGTTTCTGAACAATTGGTAGTTCTACATCCACGGCCTTTGTACATGAATGAATGCAATACAGTATATATGTTATAGAACGATGTAAATCCTCCGAGGCTTCAGATCATATATTACAGTACAGGTAGTTCTGCTATAACGCGATAATTGTGTTCTTGTAAAATATCGTGTTATAGAAAATCGCGTAATAGAAATAACAGGGCTTATGGAGAAAATAGGGTTAGGTGCAGATTACTCGAATTCGAAAAAATTTAGTAGTTAGCCTAACACAAAGGATAGCACAGTCTAAATAAATGTTACATTCATATCTAATAATGAAATCATACAGTAAGTTTAACACTTTACCTTGAAAAAATATGAATGTAACTTGATGGGGGAGAAGGGTGATTTTGAGGTTGATAACATCGAGCTTCTCTTCAAGTGTTATATCCTTTCTTTTACGATAATCACCGGGAATTCTATCATCAGAACGCTTTTTGGAGATATACTTCTTTACCATATTCACAGTTAATACCACAAAATTGGAGAAATAGTAAGCAAAAATCGCGTTATAGCAAACAAGAGTTCGCGTTATACAAATATTGTTCCGAATTCATAAATCGCGTTAGAGCAAATTCGCGTTATCAAAACACGTGTTATAGCAGAACTCACTGTACAAGATTCGGAGTGGATGTCATAAATGGATACCAATGCCATACCAGCCATCAATGGGATCTTACATAAAATGGAACAAGGAATTATTGGGGAAACATTGCAAGATGTGAGAGGTGCTATCACTGCCCTTCACAACGTGGGTATACGTAACGCTGAGAAAGCATGATGAACTGGGCTGAGTGAACCCACAGTATCATAATGGGTTAGATGCCATGAAACGAACTCGTGGCACAGCGAAACTTACAACCACAAATATCTTGACTATAGGTTGCCTGCAAGTCCCTTGATTTGAAGCCTTTTTTCGATGTTAAACCAATACAATTTACATATCAGTAACATGGTAGATCCCATGTAGACCGATATATTATTATATTGATGTAGCTGTTCACTCTAATATCAAGTAATATTTGGTTAGTCACACTTTATAAATCAAACATATCGTCAACAATATGAGGAGACTCATTGTGAAACTCGGTATGAATGACTCTGTTAGTACAATGATGTAATGGTGAAATGTCCATTTTGAGGTTTGTCTCTGTCTCAATTATGATGTTCCAAAACACTTCCGTTTAATGTATATTTCAGTAATATTGTAATCATCAGCCAGTGGCTTGTTTACAAATGCCTTGTTTCTACCCAACACGATACATACACAAATATATCTTAATGGATTTTTTTTTAACGTATCTAGTAATGTATGTCATATAAGGACAACCCCCTTCCCCAATCCTACCCCCATCTCTAGCAATTGCTGATATGGTAAGCACTGGGGATCATTTCAAAGCATTTTGTTTAGTGTTTCAATCTGTAGTGACAGAAAATCTAATGATACTTTTTGGGGGGACTGTACAGTATAGAAAATACTTATTACAAGGATGCAATACTGGTAGACCTCATTTATTGCAATGGTTCCATCTCTGACAAACCCGTGTGCAAAATGTAAAATCAAATTTTTTCAAAAGAAACAATATACAATACAGTATTTAAAACATAATATGTGCCCATAAATTTTGTGTATACAGTAATTACCAAATTTTCAGAACTACTTTCTGATTTCCTGATGCAACTAAAGCACTCAAGTGACAACATCACTCATATACTATACAGTACTGTATTCATAAGTGTGAGGAACAAGAAGCATGCAATTGTTATATGTTCTGATCACAGGTGTTTCCAGTTCATGGAAATCTGAATTAGGGAAGTTAAACCTGTACATCAATAAATTTCTATAACCACCTTTGCCCTCCCCTAATAGAGGACTATCATTTTCCATTACCCCCCAGCAGGAGGTGGAACTTTGTATCCATCCCTAAAGACCTGTCATCATCATGGATTCTGTCATCCATGCACACCAATGCCTCCTCTTACCACAGGACTCCCCCCCACCCCATCCTTCCACCTTTTTCTTGGTCTTTCCCTTAATCTTTCCTACCATCCACTTCTGAACTGTATCTGTTTTTCACCAATTTTTCATTGTCCATTCTCTCAGTATGTCCACTGATGTGGAACAATCATATTCAAAAAGAGTTCAAATGATGAAAGATACAAGATATACTTTAGTTAAACATTAATTTCTAAAATATCTGACACAATAACAAGTGTTATTGAAAGTACTGTACAGTATATCAGGTGCAATGTGTGTCAAAATTATTGAAAAAAAAATACATAATTACCTTAGTTATACTTTGATGTGGACTTAAGGTGGCACTTTTCATACATTCTCTTGCCAACTGAGCCACCAATGTCTTGAAATTTTCGTTTCTGGTTACGAAGTCGGTTTCACATTTGACCTCAACCATGGCACCTGTGTTACCCTCTATGTGGATACCAATAAGCCCCTGCGTTGTGCTGCGGCCGGAGAGTTTTGTAGCTTTTGCCCATCCTTGCGCTTGTGCCTCCGCTTTCAGCCAAACCTCAGCCTAGGAACACATTTTTGTTAAAAAATTGTTATAAAGACAAGAACTTTGAGATAAAGAAAAAACTAGTACAGTCATGTCGCATCTTAAACAGGGTTACATTCCAAAGATGGCGTGTGAAGCCAAAAACTCGTAGTCAGAATTACCCTCAAAAATCCCTTAAATCATCCATAAAGTACATGGTTATATACAGTAAACCCTCATTTAACCGAGCAGTGAATGTAGAGTAAAGCACCGATCTTTCTTTCGCTGTTTTTAATATGTATTCGTAATGTTTAGACAATTCTAAGACATTTTTCTTCTATGATATTTCCGCCGGAAATTAAGGATAACCGAAATTAATTTTTCAATATTATTAAATTTGTTCGGTCACAAGTGTCGCCATTTGTTGTTTACTTTTTGTGGAGAAAGTCTGACCCTCCCTCACGCAGTGGTCCTTACCTCCGTCTTAAGCATCTACAGCACATGTGCAGAGGTGGTGTGGGAGTTTCTTATTGGCTATAGCGATAGGAGACTTATTATTGGGCAATAGTCTGTTCTCTTAGCCAATGAACATGCGTGGGTGTGTCGGGAGCGGAGATTTGAATTTTCAGTACCATATATATGGCTGAACAGGTGGAAGAGCTGTGCCGACATTGTGATGGAGATGATTTTACGTCAATTGCTGAGTTTCGTCAGAAAAATAGTGAGGCAATTTTTTTTTATAGAAAACACGGTGTACTACTGAACAATGTTATTTGTCCAAAGTGTAATAATCAGTGTAAACTACGTGAAGAGCAACACATGGCGGTGTCACCACAGTTTTCTTCAGCCGAACAGTAAGAAACGGAAGAGGTGCAACCCTGGTCTGGTTTGGTTAGGTTAGGTTAGGTCAGGTCAGGTCAGGTCAGGTCAGGTCAGGTCTGGTTTGTACTGTATTTTATTTGCGATTTACTAAAAAAAAAAAAAAAAAATAATCCAACCTTTTCCCCTTAAGATTGTTGGGGGAGTATCTCAAAAACTAGTTATTTCCAGAGGAAATTAATATAAAATTTGTTCGAAACTCATCAAATACCATAGAAAAAATATATTTTTAATATCCAAAGAAAGAACAGTACTTTTCTATAAATTTACCAACCGACCCTCAGGTAACTGAACCCCACAATAACCAATCCACAAATTGTTCTTACCTACAGTTGTAGGCTGCAAACCGACAGCCCTTGCTATGTTCACAGCTCACTGTCCTTCTTCAAATCTCTTTACATCTAATTTAACTTCTAAGGTAACACTTTTCCTCTTTTTGTGATCACAAGCTGTAGTGGTGCATAATGCACATTTAGCACTCATTCTTCTAGGGCTCAAATAAATTTATTATTGAATTTTAAGTAAATATTGTTAGAGTATCAACCAACGACCAAACAATAACAAATATGGCACCCATGCTGGTCGCTTACACAGCCAAGTCCCATTGTATCATTTTTTTTAATTGTCGTATTTATCATTTTCATACAAATTTTTCAATTTTTTGTGCAGTACCTCGATTAACCGACTTATCGGCTTTTCTGACCCACCCGACCCCCCATATAGGTCGGTTAAACGAGGGTTTACTGTATACTGTACCTGCTAATAGCCCATCTGGCGACATGGCTGGTTAGGCCTATTTCAGTTTAAATGTGCACCACACACAGTATGTGCCAAAAAACTATGAAATAATTATCATAAGGTCAAAAACGTAGAGAATTAATCATTAGGTGTGTAAAAGCAAGCATAATTTAAAGCCCAGTAACCCACCATCTCATAACACATTTATTTCCCACATATGTTCTTTATTTTTCTTATTTTATAGTTTTATGTTATATTTTCTATATTTCTAAGCCAAATAAGAGTACACTGATATCTCCGTTAGCTGGAATAATTGGTACAGAGCACTTCCAGGAATGAGAGATTTCTGGGTAACGAGATGACTCTCTCAAAGCCAGGAAAAATTCCCCCATCCCCAGAATTTTCCGGGTATCAGGAAAATTTCAATTCCGCCTAACAGAGAGTTCCAGGTTTGGGGGATTCCTGCTAACGGAGATACTATTGTACTGTATTGTAATTATTTTTCACAACTTTTATAGTTTCATAACAAGTAACAATATACAAGGCGGCTGGGCTGACGTAGTTTATAGCCAGGGCCTTGGCTAGAACTGCCTCCATAAACATTCACTTCTCACACATAGACACCCATGTTCTTCATTTTCTTGTTTAATATTAAATTTTCTTTATGTCTAAGGCACATTAGAGTATTGTGGGTCGATGACCTGTGCCCGGGTGGGCTAATCCCGTAAAAAAATACAAAAAACAAGAAAAACTAAGTTCCTAAGTGCTTTCATGTAATTCATATCTCTTCACATTTTCACGGGTGAGTACAGACGAAGGAGTAATTATTAACAAAAATAATATATACAGTGAGATTAAGTCCCTAGGGACAGCAGGTGTCCACCATATTCAGGCCATTAGGCAGTGACCCAACCCTTTCACCTGGTTACAAATCTTGTTTATCACAAAATTGTCAAATTTGTACATGCCCTTACAGGTGCTTAATTTCATGTTGACAGATTCGGTATGTTTAATGAGACTAGATTCTATAAGGTTCCTACTGACAAATAAATTACAAGGTAAGACTGAAGAGGCATTATCCCAGTCACTGCAATGATTATCATCTCTCATATGAATGAACAAAGCATTGGATTCCTGGCCTGTCCTAACACTATATTTATGTTGTTTAAGTCCAGTTATAAGATCTTTGTCCATCTGACCTACCAGTAAGTAGTACATATTACATTCCTTACAAGGATCTTTGTAAATGCTGCCACCTGCATTTAACAATTGTTTTACAGTGCATGAATTAATAAACATTACATTTACATTCCAAGATTTCAATTGTAGAGGAATTTGAGAGAAATAAGAATCTCTTAGTATTAACATTTAACAAATATTTCTCTCAGTATGTACAGTACACTAAACCTAGTCTTAATAAATAAATAAAAGGATCTTTAAAAAAAATTTCATAATGGAAAACTTTTACTGCTACCAACTATATAAAACAAACATCAATTTACCTTTTCAAGATCATTACTATGCATTTCAAGTGCTTTCTTGCAATTACTAATGGAAAAACCTGTTCTTTTTCGTAGTTTTGCTAAGTGTCCTTTGTCAACAACATATAATGCCTGGCACATGTGAAGCAGCTGTTTGCCTCTCCTTCGGGACAGTGTAAACTCCTGCAAAAGAAAGGCAATATTAGAAACATAAACCATCTACTGTAGTATGTATATAATGAATTTTATACGCACTAAAGTTTTTTGTTAAAGACACGTTTTAGTTACACCACGGAAACTACAAACAAAATTTGGTTTTCCGAGTGTATTTTGTGTTGTTTCAAACGAATCTAACTTTCATTTCCATTGCAAATGAGCCATTGTGGAGATATGACTCCCAATTACCAACAATCATGGTTGTTTAACCTTTGAAGTAGAGGGGAATTATAAAGTAAAATAATAAAAAGAAGGTATTATTAATTATCGTTTTGGTCATCCAGCAAATTTTACGGAGGGGGGGGTGGGGTCAAGGGACAAAGCCCACCGGTTAGGTTAGGTTACTTTTACTTTTATCCTCTTTGCCACTGATCAAGCCATTAGCCGCTTGGGCGGTCGGTCGGTAGCCTAACCAACCACACCTAGCCTAGCCTAGCCTAGCCTAATCTAACCAGGGTGGGGGGGGGGGGGCACAGTCATTCGATGATCTGGGTGTGTACCGCCTTGTACGAACATCATAATAAAATGTAAAATATCTAGCCATAAATGCCATTGAAGAAATGTGTCTGAGAATTGTCTAATTACCGATTGCAACTATATAATTCCCGAATTTGTTCATTGGCAACAAGTGAAATAATACCGAAAACCTTACCTAACCTTTCCTATATAATTACCTAAAAAAGTTAAATATTGCTTTCGCCTCATCATCTGAACACCGAAAACAACATCCATCACCTACTAATCAGAAGCACGAATAAGGTAACCAGACAAAACCATTACACACTTGGGCGATTCCTGCCACCACAAGGGTAAGGAAACTGACATGTTATTGTTCTTATAATTACCGTACAGTATTTACTTACTTGAGCCGCATATATCCGCCTTAAAAGAAGTGACGCCATATCATACACAATGAACAAATATGTGGTATAGACGTTATTTAAGATGGTTGGTCGCCGGGATGTTATGTTGGTCTCAGAGCAGACGATGCCTCACACATGACCCAAACAAAACCGAACCCTGACTCCTTAATCCCTGAAACCGAACCCTGACTCCTTAATCCCTGAAACCGAACCCTGGCTCCTTAATCCCTGAAACCGAACCCCACGTCCTTCCTTTTTTTTTTAATGACATCAAATCGAACTTTCTGATTCTTTATCGTCAAATGATGGCCACTGAGAAGTAATGTGGTCCACTTTATATATGGAAAAAAAAATTCAGTGAATCTTGCTACTCCCAACCCCTAAGTTTGTTTCATTTCAAAAAAATAAATACACTGAAAATTACAATAAAATCGGATAATATTTAGGGTTCGCTCAGAGAAGGTTGAATTTTGTCTCTAGCTACCTATCGGGTCCCTTCATATGGGTGTTAGCTAGCCGCTCAAAGGCAGTGGTATCATGGCTTGTAGGACCACTCATTGTTGTCCATTTGCTAATATATATATATAATTTTTTTTTTTGATGGGGGCTCCAGGTATCGTTTCCTGTGATCTGCAACGACGTGGAGGAGGTACTGGAGTTGCTCTTCATTCTTGATATGGTGACCATGTAATGACCACGGTTGTACATGTTATTTAACGGAAAATCAAACGTTTCACATTACGTTCAATAGCCCATAAAGCATGATGCTGTAACTTATTTATTGAGTCCCCCAGCTGATGCGTCAGTTTTCTTATCGCTTCAGGACGCTTGAGTCCTCCGTTTTCTCTGGAGTGCACCCGAGACTCAGTTATTCCTTAGTATCTCGGGGCACGACACGAAAATTGAAATTGCAACTACAGTAGATGTATATTTTAAGTCAAATTAGATATGTCTGGTTACAGATGAAACATTCAAGAAACCCTTGTGAGTGATGTTGAAAGCTTCACCTGTTTTTATTGTTAGTAAAACTTATCATATAAGTGAGAGTTGAGTCTGCCAGTAAGAAGGGCATCTCCTAATATCGTCCTTGGGGATAGCTATGTTTCCAAGTACAACTGAAATGAGATAATTTTAATGCCCAAACATCAGAGAATCTGATGTTTGTAGTTTAATCAGAGTGAGTTAGCTAGTTTAAAAGTCATTAATCTCCTGAAAAGAATGTCAAACTCCTTCTCCAGGATATAAACATATACCTATAGAGGGACCTTGTGTGTAGTTTTGCTGAGAACGTAAAAGTAACGTTAACAGTTTGTGTATTTAATGTACATTTCACTTTTTCTTGGCAAGCTCAACCTACGATTAAATTGTAACGATAGATGTAAGAAATTCACCTGACCCATGACACTTGAGTTTCATAGTTAAAGGGTACGTCGCTAATCACGATTTTCAAGAATGAGGTGCTTTTCCGTCTGGAGTATTGTCATCCGCCTGGTCCCCGAGGTATGCTAGAGACTGTCAATTGATTGAAAATGTCCAAAGGAGGTCCACCAGACTGGTGCCTATTCTATGGAACCTCAGTTACCCAGAGAGATGGAGTGCCTGCAACTACCTTTACTCTTTCCAAGCTAACCTGGCCCATAAGCCACGCCTCTCTTCTATACTAATAGCCGATTTATTCATAGAAAATTCAAACTAAATGTGTTCATTATTGGTAAGCAGACCTGTTATTTAAAATAATGTTAAATATATGGATTATCAAAATTCAAATCATTTCAAGGCATTAGCACTTCAGAGAGGAAGTTAGAAATTTGTTTAATATTTATTATAAAAGGTCTACCCGGTATATACATACGCTGTCCGGGGGGAGGTAAAACGCTCAGAGGAACCAATCTGCTATTTGTAGCTATACTGTAGATGAGGGATAACTCGGCAGGGCCAGAGCCCCATATGTGCCAAGTTATCGCGGGCTTACTGTACAGGAGGTCCCCGACTTACGAACACCCACCGATACGAAAGGGGTTAAACTTGATATTTAATGTATTTTATTTACCTAATGACTTATTTTTTTACTTTCATTTACTGTATTTTATCATTCTATTTTTTCTTTTGTCTTAAATTAAATGCTTTTAGATGTATATAAGGACTTAGGCTATGATAAAGTGGGATTTTAAACATTGTTTTGTAAGCACGGTACTGTATGCATATAGCATGTGTTCCAACTTATGTACAAATCTGAGTTATGAACGTCCTCAGGAATGGAACCCGTTCTTAACCCGAGGACCACCTGTATACGGAAAACAAAATTCTGTAGTATTGCTCAGTGTTCTTATCCTTTAATTCAAATATGCTAATTAACTTAAAGAGCTGAAGCATTGAAAGATGAATGAGTAGAATGAAGAGGAGGGTGTAGTTAGCTGCCTGGTGTACCATCTGCAGCTAGAGCATCTCAGAGGAAAATGATCTTTGTGATTCCTGATGTCTGAATAACCACTCGTAAAACAGTTTATCCACGCTGGCTGCTTTGAATTTACTAAGGTTTTCTCTCATGCACATGACCTTATCTGATTTGCTATCAGCATAAAACTTAGGTACTGTATATACTCGTGTATTAGTCTGTCTCTTGTATAATCTGACCCCTGATTTTTTTTCATATACTGTACAGTACATTACTTCGTGTATAATTCGATGCTAGCTTTCGAGAAATACCAGGTATAATCCTGGACATATTTTGTAGAAAGACACCAGACTCTCACCAATACATCTTGACCACCACCACAACAGCAATCAAAGCTGGTTTTACACTCTTACATGTGCTGAGCTATGCTGTGTGACTTACTGGGAGAGACTGCACTAGCTGACACAACTGCGGTGGGAAAAGTGAAGGCATGTATGAATTTGAATATGGAGGGGAAAAGAGCTAGGGATAGGTCATGGAAAATTGACATGGTGAGAGGTTGTAAGAAATAACCTCAGAGATACGAACCTGACAAGAGTGACTACACAGTATGGACAGCTGCCATTAGGTAGCCATAGCTAACCTTCGCAAGTGTGGAAAACGGCCGTAAAATGATGAGGAGGAGGAGGTAAGAGAAGTAGTGCATCAGAGTAAACTGGATTACTGTACTGTAGATTTTGCAACAGGATGTTAACGTGCGCACAAGATACTGTACGTAGCTAACACATAATCTGCATGGAAAAATTTAAACAAGCACAATAATAACTTTTGTTTATATAGAGGAATCTCTCTTACACAGCAAATTATATAAATCACTGTAAAGCTGAATTATAAATGCTTAATACAATATTAACAGTAAAGTTGTGTTGAATTGTCTTTAATATAAAATGAAACCAAAGTAAAGATTGAAAAAAATAATAATCAAAATCTATCTCTAACTTTTTCTGCAAATGCCTTGAGATTTCCATAGACTTTCGATGGAGGACTCCCTGAAAAACAAAAAAAATTATAATAAATAAATAAATAAATATCAGAAGTAATTTATGATGAGTGATTTGGATGAATTACAGTATATATGAATACAGTACTGTACTGTAATTGTATATGGTTGACACTTTGTTTAATTAATAAGAATATCTGACTGAAAACCTTACCAAGTATCAAATTACAAATTGCTCTTCTTGCAATTTGGATGTTCTGGTAAGAGCCCAATATGTGGACACGAGAATCGGCCAAGATGATACGAGTCCGAGTAGCATTTTCAATGGTGAAACGCGTCTTGCCACCTTTTCCAGCAACCCGACCAATTGCTCGTGAGAGATGATCACCCTGGAGAGTCTGCTTCACTGGTGATTGGAAATGAAATGGCATTAATACCTGTAAATTAATAATAAAACCATCTTTTAATTTTCTTTTCAAATTCCTGTACAGTAGAGTACCTTGGTTTTCCATACTGGACTGTACTGTACTGTACTGCAAAATCTTCACTTCATAAACATTTGCCAACTCTAATCACACCTTTGACACCAATGTTAAACATAAATGTCTAATAAAGCTGCAGTCTTGTTAGTAAATCAAGTTAAAGGTGCAGCTGCCAAATTACAAATATTAAAATACAGTATGGTATCATCCACTGAATTTGATTAGACACGGTTATTAAAATGTATAAATATTTTGTGTATCCATATTTTTGTGCCACCTGACTCATATGTGATCACTCCACTCAGACTTTTCTTAAACAACATGTTGCATCCAACCATATTCAGTGTGTCCTCAAACTTAAGTATTTTCACCTTCTGTACTCCTTGTTCCAAAACCTTTTCAACCTTGTACACCTTCTTAACCCAATTTTGTGTTCACCAAAATAACCATCTGGGTCACCACCTAGTACAGGAAAGCCTCCGATAATGATGATTCTACTAACGACGATTCATATTTAAGAAACTTACCCATAGTTTCACCCTGCCCAGGGATTAAACCCGGGTCCACTCGCTTGCGAGACAAGCATGCTGACCATTATACCACAGGTCACTACAATACAGTACCTCTGTTGTCAATCATCAAATTTTAATACAGTTGTAATTACTGTACAGTACACAACACTTTTGGCTACTGTCACTTTGTTTATGGCATCTGCCATTACCATAGGAAAACATCCAAATCATAAGGGTAAGCAAAGAATAAAGTTGAGCTGTTTCATGATTTTGTAAGAAGGCTAATTAATGAGTGGAAAGTGTTAACGACAACCTGTGTTACAACTTCGCACCATATTGTCCTTACCATCTTTAATGTCAAATGTTTCAAGATAGAGATCATCTAATCGGATGAGAGCGAGTGCATCATCAACCTCAAAGCCATACACAAAAGCCTGAATGAAATCGGATGCTTTTTGGATACTATTTGGATCTTCAGTCTCTTTTCCAGTCTGTAAAGTATAAAGAAAATTTATTATAATGTAGATGAAAAAGACAACTTTTGATTCTGTAACAGTAGACAGATGTGTATAACAGAGTATAAGATATCAGCAAGGTTGATTAGTACAGGTAAGAATGAAAAGTACAAATATGTTGGGGGGACAACCTTTTCTTTTTGGAACATGTACTGTCCTAAATTTACTTGTTCTCTTATACTGTATATGCATATATACACCATTGTACAGAAAAGATAGACAAAAAAAAAAGTGGCTACCACTGGCAACTGTGGGGCATCATATTACACTATACATTTACCAGCCCTTGTCACAGACATTATTAAGGCCTTTTTTTTATGTTTTTCTAATTAGTAAAAAACTGAAGGCACAGGCATATTACTGTACCTGTACACACCATACCTTCATTAATTTGGATCATTATAATTCGGATTTTGGCTTATTTCGTGTTTTTCAGAAGTTAATTAAATAATTTGAATTTGGAATGAATATAAAATAAATGAGTGGTTCTGGAAAGTCGCTTTGGCTGCCACATAAAATATTTTATTTATAATTGCTAAGAAAATGTAAATACTTTTAATTGTACATAAAACAATAACATGCACATATACTGTACAGCAATAATAAAGTAAATACAGTAATTAATAAATGTAGCACTTACATTGCGAGGTGAGCTGGTAATATGTAGATGATAGTACATTACAGTATTCCAAAAGTGTAATGGTTACACTGGTAAATGAAGTAAAATCCCACATTGGAGACATAAATGACGAGATCTTGGAGCTGGTTTACTAAGACCCTGTTCAGACAACTAACAGAACAAAGCACGGGAGAAAGACATAGAACAAACGAATCAGGTCAGCCAGAGGGCTACTCTGTTGACCTAGTTGAAGACCTTAGTAAGGTCAATGATGGCCATGTACAAGTCACGATGCTATTCTCTGCACTTTTCCTGTATCTGGCAAGCGTCAAAGATCATGTCAGTGGTGCCACATAATGGTCTTAAGCCACATGGAGATTCTGGGAGGAAGTTTTCTGCCTCAGGAGGAAGTCTGTTTAGGAGGACTCTGACGATAATCTTGCCAGCTACGGACAGCAGTGAGATCCCACAGTAGTTGCCACAGTCTGACCAGTCTCCCTTACTCTTATAAATATTGAGGATCGAGGCATCTTTAAGAACTTCGGGGATTTCCTCCTCCCATATATTCTCCAAGAGCGAGTGGAGACGGCGGGTAAGCAGAGGTCCTCTTCCTTTATACACCTTGGCTGGGGATTCCAACAGGCCCTGTGGCTTTGTTTTTTTCATCTGTTTGATGGCAGTACAATAGTTACCTCATCCAGAGATGGAGGATAGCTGAGGTGGGTCAACTCTGGGTACTGAGGAACCTGTTGGGTAGTCAGGACATTCACATCAGTGTTTCAGTTGAGCAGCAAATGGTAGTGCTCTTTCCAGCACTGATGGATGCTTTTTTCGTCTTTAATGAGGGAGTTACCGTCGGATGAGTAAGGGGGGCCACGCCATGAGTAGTTGGGCCATATATTATTTTAGCGGGATTGAAAAATTCTCGCATCTTGTGTTGATCTGCAAGTTTTTGCGTTTCACACGCCTTACTTTTCAACCATTAGTTCTTTAGATTGCCAAGTTCACACTGGCTGCCTCTCTCTTCTTGTAGAAGGTATCAGCTTTGATCCGAGACTGAGGGTTGTTCTGTCATTCAGTTTATCATCGAGGAGTATGTTGATTTCCGGGTCATTTTCACCAAACCAATCTAAGTGTTTTCTTTTGATCAGGCTGAGTGTCTCATTGCAGGTTTTTGTGATGACAGCATTAAAGAGACCCCATTCAGCACAAGGATTTGGGGTTTGTTGTTGGGTTGTTTATCAGCCCATTGTTGAGCTGCTCTCTGAAGGTAAGTGCTACCACTGGATCCTCCAATCGCTTGATGTTAAAGCCACTTCTGGAGGCTTATTGCCTTCGCTGTTTTGGGGCAACATGAAGGGAGAGTTTGGCTCTGACTAGCCAAGGATCTGTAGCACAGTGGTCTGAGCCATGCATGGCTCAGGTGATGATGGTATCTCGGTGATATCCTGCTCTGCCTAAACAAGGTGTTGGTGATAGTGAGGTTGTGTGCAGCACACTTGCTGAGGAGGAGTAGGCCGTTGGAATTACACTTGCCTACTCTGCTTCTCCCTATGATTCCCTGCCATATGTCTGCATCTCTGCCAACTCTGGCATTGAAGACACCTAGGAACACAACCTTATCTTCTCTAGCACTCTGTCAAGGACAGTGTAAAAGCCCTCCTTGATGTCATCTTCTGCGTCCAGTGTTGGGGCATAAGCACTGATGAAGAAGGCATAGTACTTATCATTGGTGTTTTTTTCCTTATATAGTAAAAGAACAGCACTAACATTTAGATTGAACTGTGTCATGGTGACTGTGAAGTTATATTTTCTGTGTTTTTATGATTGTAAGGTGCGTCGACTCTGTTGGAAAATGTGACCAGTGTCGGCTGCAATCATTGCCTTTGTTATCATCGTTCATTCTGTTTTTGTGACAAGTGCTTTTGCTCTGTTTTTTGTGACTTTGAAAATGTCTGGAAAGGCCAAGGCATCCAAGACAACCGTATCTCTAAAGTGAAGCTTGACATTTTGAAGCGCATGAGACTCCCCAGAGGCTGCATGGGAGTCAAGAGTGACGTCTCCACTCCACCTACAAGGGTCCCCTTAGCCTCAAAGGTACATGTGATGATGACCATGTTTATTCTTCACAATGTGGCGAGTGTTGTTTGTTTTGTATTGATACTGTTGTAGTAATGTAGGAATTGTTTTGTCAGTGATACATGTGTGTTTGGGGACTGGCTATTTTGTCAGTGATACATGTGTGTTTGGGGACTGGCTAGGAATGTATCTCATTGAACCCCCGTTATAATGCTCCCTATCTACGATAACTCACCTGTAAATGAGTTTTACAGGAATCTAACCCCATCGTATCTCAAGGTTTACCTGCATAGTAGAACACAGTATGATTAATGAAGACTGTTCATAAAAAACATAAAGAATTAGCTTAATGTTCACATTAAGTTAGTACAGTACATTATAAGCAACAGTGGGATAATACTAAACAATGTGGAAAAGGGTTCTGCAGGAGTTACTATGCAACAGCAACTTACCAGTACACGCACTTACCCTAATTTCTACATTCCTGGATTTAAGGTTAAACCTGACTTCAAGCTTCAGGTGTTCAACAATGGGTGAGTATATCTTTTCCCAGTTCTGTTTTAAGGGAGTGTATCTGTGGGTAAAAAGATTTTAAAGTTATAATCAATAATAGGAGCATGCTAGCTTAGCATTAAGTACAGCACTGTACAGTTCAGTATTTCTAATGAGAATTTGTTATTCAAATACATGAGTTTTCACTTGGTAATTGCTGATAAAACAAATTTGTCTAAATATGCAGTTCCCCCAAACTACCCTGGGCCTCCATCATACCTGTTGTTTGGAACAAGTATCCTCCTCATCTCCAATGAGGACAATTTCTCCTTCTTGGCTGGAGGGAAAGAGGGCCGAGTTACTGCATTATCCTGGAAAAAAGAAAAACTAATTCTGAAATCCAATAAAGCAGAGCCCAGGGTCAATATTTTGAAAATGACACCAGGCAACCGAACATTGAAAAAAGTTTTTCTAGTGTAAATCGTGTTAAATACATATATGACCTTCATTGCTGTCGGAAATGAGCAGTAGTTGAGATATTTGAAAAAAAAAGTGGAAGGTCAAACAATGTGTAAAAAAAAAACCTAACATCACCTAATCCCAAGTGTGTAAAAAACTTACCTTAAGTAAGAGAAACAGGAGGATGTTGATGTGACTAGAATGAGGAAGTGGTATCTTTGTCAGCGTCTCTTATCACAGTACCATGCATGGTGATCTACACGGTATTGATACTCTGAATTACACCTTAAGACACTTTACACATGAAACAAGAACACCGTGAGCCCTAAAAATGACAACGGCTGCTGCTTCACTGTCCATCCTCCAACTGTCCATAAACGCCGATTAGTACACAAGTATTACATTTCATCGGCACTCACTCTGATTGGCGTGCACGACTATGACATAACATCAACACTCGAGCTGATTGGCCAAATATTATAATTTACCTTCTTTTACTTTTACCCGAAAACTATAAATTTCCGACGGAAACATTATAGAATAAATTATTATTTTTCTCTAGCTCCCCAAATATAACTCAATATTCAGTTGCCTGGTGTCATTTTCTAAATATTGACCGAGCCCAGAATTAGGCAGTCATTAACTTTTCAGTCTAGGAACCTGAGGACCTGACACTAATGGGTTGGCTGGAATTAATTTAAATACAGTATTTGCAAATCTCCCTGCTTACTACTAAGCCATAGCCCTATAAATGGATAATTGATCCCCAAAACCATAAAAAGGTGAAATTGTGTCCCATAAGCATCACTACCCATTAGAGACAATGTGGATACAGCCTTGGCATACTTAACCTACAAGGAGGCAGTGTGGACAGCACTGCATCTGACCACCTTGACTTCCCTACCATACTCCCATAGAAATCCTCCCACAAAGATGTTTTGCACAAACAACTAAACAAGGCATGGAAAATTTTAATTGGGGCTGCTGTACCTGTGTTTGGTATTACAGCACACATATTTATGTTTGTTTAAATTTGTTAAATACTGAATCTCGTTTGGGAGAACTTGCAGTACAGTTATGCAGTTGTCTGGAGGAAGTGTTTGTGAATAAGTGAACTATAGACACCATCCACAGTACGTGTTATCTGAGTGTGTGGTGAGCCTCGTAACAAACTGAAGAGTTACCTCAACAACTTCCATGCTTGTGTCTTCTGCTTTCCTCTTCTGTTGTATCTTTGTCTTTTGTTCTGCATCTTGAGGCTCAGCAGAAGTCTTGGCTTTTACCGACTCCATCGCCCAAGAAAGAGCGGAATACTAACTGAAAGAAATATTAAAGTTTTTCAGTTATAATTATTTACAAAAGAGGAATCAAAGTCAACATGAAGCATATATTGCTTTTAAATGTTATGAGCCAATGAAAATAGCATATAAAAATGGCTATACAAGGTATGGGCATTCCCCGATTTACAAAAAGGGTTTTACCTGACAACCTTGTATAAGTTGATTTTTCATAAAGTGAAGCTTATTTTTCCCATTATAAAAACTGAGATACCATAAAAAAAAAAAATCCCCAAAACACCTTAAAATGTCACAAAACATATTCTTAATAAATACTTTTGGTGAATACAATAAGGCAACAATAAACATAAATGAAACGCATGCAACAAAGTACCTGTAATGTACAGGTACTGTACCAGACCATTTATCTGGCAAGCTTAGAACCTGAGGTGAACCTAATCTAACCTGACCCCACCTGAAGAATTTTCACTCCCAGAATGTCCACCTGAAGAATCGGCACCCTAGCCCGCTATGAGGTGATGAGTCGTCAGAGGATCCCTTATTACGTACTATTAAAATTGGCCTAACTGAGTTGTGGCTGAATCAGTAATAGGTCAATATTTAGAAAATGACACCAGGCAACTGAATATTGAGTCATATATGGGGAGATAGAGAAAAAATAAATGCAAATAATTTATTCGATAATGTTTCCGTCACAAATTTATAGTTTAAGAGTAAATTAAAAAAAAAAAAGTAGTGTAATATTTGGACAATCAGTGTGACTGCTGATGTGACGTAATACTCGTGAACTAATCAGCGTTTGTGGCCAGCTGCAAGATGGTGTCTGTGTGAGATGGATGTACATTGCCTGGCTGCCATATTATTCAGTGCATTTTGGACAATGAAGCAACAGCTGTTGTCCTTTTGGGGGCTTACAGTGTTTTTGTTTCTTCTGTAAAGTGTTCAAGATGTAATTCAGAGTGTCAGTACCATGTAGATCACCATACACGGTTCTGTGATAAGAGATGGACACTGATGAAGATGCCACTTCCTCATTCAAGTCCCATCACCTTATCCTCCTGTATCTCTTACTTAAGTTAAGTTTCTTATGCACTAGGGGTTGGGTTAGGTTAGGTTTTTCAGTTTTTTTAAGGTTTTTACATTGTTTGACCTTTCCACTTTTTTAACATGATTTACTCAAGAAAAACCTATTTTCAATATTCAGTTGCCTGGTGTCATTTTCTAAATATTGAACCAGCAATAATACCAGGGGTGCTGGACAACTTGTACCCATCAGAACATGTCAAGTCGTACCCAATTACAAGGTAACTCATACCCAAGGGACAGCAGGTGTCCAACACATTCACGTCATAAGGTAGTGACCCAACCCTTTCACCTGGTTACAAATCTTCTTAACCACAAAATTGTCCGATTTGTACATGAACCCCATGTTGACAGATTCGGTATGTTTAATCAGACTAGATTCTTTTATGTTCCAACTGACAATTGAATTACAAGGTAAAATTGAGGGTACGAGTTAACTTTCTTGGGTTCGAGTTATCTTGGGTACGAGATGACCCTAATACCAGGAAGGGTTATAACACAAATTTTGCATTTCCTCAAACTTTCGGTAAACTTGCAGTGTCATACTGTTCGACCAAAACTGTTTGTTTTTTCCAAGGTATTTGGTCTGATTTATCCGAATTTGTCTTTCATTTCCATCGAAAATGTGTGGTTACTGAGTAATCAATCCCCCCCTCCCCCCGCCCACACACACACACAAAATTGCTGTAACCGAGTTGAGGCTGAAACTGCAATACCAAACTTTCATTATCACCAATGTATTCATGAAAGGCTACGTTAAGAAAACAACATACTAAATCGTTTAAAGTGTTTGCTTAATAATTATCGCGTGGCTAAATATATTCCTACGTGATAGGACACACTTACAATCCAATACGGTATTTGTTGCCAGCTCGTCCGTGCAGATGAAGGTTTGTTTACTCCTTCACCCTAAGTCCATAACACGTGCTGCTGGCAGGATAATATGTACCACGTAAATAACCTCTCTTGTTAGGGATAATGTGGTGCCAAATAAACTATATTATACGTACCTCTTTACTTCAGTTTTAACACTTTTAAATAATTATTTTTACAATAATTAGAATAGCATTTTCATCAGGTGATCTTTGTACAATATTGGACAATCAGGTATAAAATGGGCATGGCCTTTTCTCTCCGCATGCGTAATTTACATCCTATATTTCCATATACAGTACAGTACATATGTATTTTCCCTTTCACTTAAATGTGAACAGTTGCTACTATATCTAATAAGATTGCAAATCCTGGTCGATTATCACATAATCTTCCTTAAACTTCACTTTTATCCTTTTCGCCACTACATATTTCTAGACTTACCTAATTTTGTGTATTACTAAACTGAAAATTGTCGAGTCTCATAGTTCACTAGAGTCCGAACAACAAAGGAAAGATTAAAGAATACAGACAACGGACCACCGTCAATAACACTATGGGGGAAAAGAAACTGCTTAGTGCCTACTGCCAAAGACCATTTTCTTTGCTACTGCTTCAGCCTCTCTGTAAATTATAGAAATTGTATACGAACAAATATCCGGTATGCAAACTGCAATATGTACAGAAGTAAAAAAAAAATTATACTTTGGTCCCCTTCAATAACAAATGAAAGGCGCGTGGCTGAGCTGCAGTGCTTTAATTCAGGAAGAGATAAACATTATTGGAAGTTTTATGTTCGTAGAAGATAATATTAAAAAAAACAAGAGTAGCAATACAATTTACTGAAAAAAGAAGACAAAAATTAAGAGATCTTAGTAAAATCGAGGAGATATTGTAAATACATAACTGAGGCAGGAGATAACGGACCAGTGTGGAGGTGTTTTTTTGGGCAAGGGGAAGCTGGAGGTGAAGCAGACTCTCATTCAGGGCTTAGACCGATTGTTTGACATTCTCTCCTGTAAGTGCCAGATCAAGAGCTGTGCTGAAGTGGGCTGCAGCCCAGATTGTGCCAGAGAGGCTTACATAGACTGAAGCTGCAGCAGGGAGATGAAGATTCCATGAAGGAGCTGCTTTACATAAAGGGGCAAAGGGAGAAGGTAGGAAGTGTGGAACCACATCAGATAGGACCTGTAGACAATCCTGAGCATAGGAGGCAGGTGGCGTCCACACTGAGGCAGACGGGGAGGGGGGAGGCAGTGAAGAGAACTTTTATCCTCTTCACCACTGATCGGCTCGTTAGCAGCTTGGGCGAGAAGGAAGAGAAAGCTGGAGGAGCCTGTGAGGAAAGAGGAGGAGGCAAGGAGGGCTTCCCTGCCGGAGGAAGCTGAAGACAATGGAGGGTGGGAGGAATGCTGGCGAGGAGTTCATTGTCCCACAGCCTGAACCTGGTCCTGCACATAAGTAGATGAAATACAACACAGAGAACATCAGGAACATTGCTCTGGCCAGTATAAGGCACCACGCTGGCCTGAGAGAGGCAGCAGAGATCACCTGGTGATAGATCACAACAAGTTGAGGAGGGCACAGTCGAAGGTGATGACTTGAACTGAACCAGGAGTTTGAGAGAGAGGTAAGGGAGACTGGGATCAGCTGCATCTTGTTTGATGGCAGACGTGATGACACTAAAGTAATGATGGAGGCAGAGAGCAGTAACAGACTGTTCCCTGGCATGATCAAGGAGGAGCATTACTCTGTATGAAGTGAGCCGGGAGGGAGATACCTGTGGCATTTGTTACTGAGGAGGCGACAGAGGAGAGAACGCATGCAGGTGTGATTGCAGACAATCTGGTGGACTGGCTGAAGGAGAGAGGAGCTGATCAGTCTCTCCAGACAATAGGAGGGGACTCCACTAATGTAAACACTGGGTGGGAGGGAGGAGTAATGCACTACGTGGAGGTCAAGCTGGGCAGGAGGCTAGTCTGTGACCTCCATACTGGGGAGATGATCCCGAGACACCTCATCATCAGCTTGGATGGCCCCACACTCAGCAACAAGAGTGGGAAGATTGGCGAGATGCTGGACACTGCTACAGAGCTGGAGATAGATCCCAAGTTTGCCAAGATCTGTGTGGGGCTCCTCTGATCCAGCTGAGTGAAGAGGTTATGAGGGATCTCTCTACAGACCAGTCCTATGGCTACAGGATTGCCCGGGCCATCAGGGTTGGAGAGCTGCCCCACAACTTGACCCTGCTGGAAATTGGACCAGTCTGTCATAACAGGTGGCTGACAACTGCACTGAGGATGTGCAGACTGTGGGTGTCTAATCATGGACTGGAGGGAAGCACAAGAAGATTCTCAAGCTAATAGTGGAGTTCATAGTGGGGGTGTACTTGCCTAACTGGTACAACATCAAAGTCAACCACAGCTGGGTGGAGGGGCCCAAGCACATTTTGTACCAGCTGGAGCTGATGAGAAGTCAGAAGAAGGAGGTGCTGGACAGTGATGCCCACTGAGAGGTCAGTCTGGTATGCACACCCAGAGGCAGTGTTGCAGGCCATGCTGTGCAGTGAGGTGGAGGATGAGAGGAGAGAGGAAGTGGACAGGATACTGGAGTTGAGGGGGGAGGGAGATGAGGAGACACAGATTGGTGACAACTCTGTCAGGCCCAGGAGAACACCTGACATAAACCCAGATGCCACCAAGCTGTCAGAGCTGATAGACTGGACCACTGGGGTCACTGAACCTCCCCTCACCTGTTCCCTCACCACAGCTCAAGTCAAGCAGTTTGTGCACAGGCCTATGGAGGTGTCAGACTGGCCTTCACATACTCAGAGTGTGGAAGTGTGTCAAACTGGTCACAGAGGCAGCTGCCCATGTCTACAGTCACGAGAAACGGGATTGGATGATCAAGTCCCAATTGGAGAGTAGACTTCTGATGTCTAGGAACAGGAACAAGCAGGACCTGGCCTCTCTCACCAAGCTCAAGAGGTGAAGAGTATAGTATGTGAGCATATGTATGTGTGTGTGTACGTGTCTGTACATAGTGTTTGCATTGTGTGGCCGCTTTTGTATATTGCGTTTGCAACAGTAGAGTCAGTTGTAATACAGAGGTTCCGTGTGTGGCTGTGTTCTTGCTCGCGATCATTACTACAAGGAGGAAAGTAAAAAACCTCGATAACTATTGTCAAACATTACTAAATAAAACTGCAAATACGATTTTCCAGCGTCTCATTTCAGTACAATGGTGATAGAAAGCAACAGGGAAATTGAGCATTTTGGGCCTAAAACCCCAAATTTAAAATGGAAATTGATGTAGTTAGGACAACCTCCAATCTCAAAATTAAGGTTATTTCTGAAATCTACTCATAAAAATGCATCATTTGAAAACTCGCCGTCAGAAAAATTCATAAAGCTGCACCTCGACCCCTCGTTAGTAATGATGAGGTCCAGCGGTTTGGGTGTTTGCTCCCCTCTGTAGTGAGTCGGATCTTTAACATGTTGGAATAGAAAATTGTCTCACTTTTTATGAAAAGAGTGGCTGGATTATTTAGGTCGACGACACCTGTGATATATCTACTGCTTCTGTACATACAACCTTGCCGGTGGTAACTAGCGGTGGAGGCTGGTAAGCGGCGAAAGGGGTTCGTAACAGTATTTTGATTAGTGGTGGACAACACAGTGTAGTACAGCTCCTGGTAGGGGGAAGGCAGTCTTCAAATAAACACAAACATGGTTTAATAGATGCTTTATTCTTATATATATATATATATATATATATATATATATATATATATATATATATATATATATATATATATATATATATATATATATATATTCAATTATAAACCATATAACAATTACACACACACACAATTCCATAGGAGTAATTATTAATTTTGCACTTTAAAGGAATTTGTCTTTTGACTGTAAAGTGCAGTACAGTATACATAAAACCCCAAAACAAGGTGGTGAACACAGCTTCCCTGCCTCACCCTAACCAGTCTAATACTGTATATCTGACACAATAAAATTCCTTTTTCATTTGCACTTCAGAAACAAGTTCTATAAATTATCCATTTTTTGTTTAATCCTAAGAAATGCACTATGCTAAACATAAATATTTGCATTTAATCTTACGAAATATATTGTATGAAACAGGAAATATGTGTTTCACCTGAAGAAATATAATGTGAAAAAAGAAAGTCTCTTTGTTTACTCTGAAGATATATTATGTATAATAGATAATATTTTTATCTTAAGAAAGATAATATACTAAAACGATCTTTCTTTTATCTGAAGAAATATATTGCATAACGGAAAGATTCTATATTTGTTTAATATTAAGGAATGGGTACGGAACGTAATAATAACTGTTGACTCCTAACACTGCTGTACCGGTATGGCAGCCTGTCACTACACACTACTGTACCATCTTCCGGCCACCTGGACCAATCGGAGGACCGAGCATTCCCAAAGGACTTGTTTTTGAACAATGGGAATGCTGCTCAATTCTCACACGCACATGCGGATGCCGGTATAAACTTAGGCAGCCCAAACTAGGACAACTCTCACTGCTTCAACTGTGCTCTCCTCTGAGGACTCGACAGTAGGGCCACGACTACAGCACCGGAGCTGCCGACATCCCACGATTCCAGTGGTGACAGCGTCCTACGACTTCCTCGTCTTCTGTATCCTGAGGGCTGAGAGGAGGACGAGGAAGTCGTAGGACGCTAGGACAAAGAGATTAAACCACCTCCAGTATAGTGCGTCTTGTCGGTAACCATCGCACTGTGTCACATCTTGACCTTTGAGCGGGGACGGAGGAGGTGTCGGTTCACTTTTTTAAAAAATGGGGTCAACGTAGCGTGCATCTGCACACGGCTGGAATGATGAGTTGCCGTACACCATGGCATACACGCATGTGCAGAAAGAGGTCAAACAAACACGGGACCAATGAGGGTTAAAGGCACGGGACTAACATGACGGGGTGAGGTAGCAAGTGAAGGATTTGTTAGTGCGGCTATTAAACTTCATATTGGATCTTAGTGCGTAGCTGGAAGATGAGATACTTATTTTTTCTAATTCTTCATACAATTTTCAATGTTAAAGTGATAGCGGAAGCTGTTGTAGTGTTGGTAGTCCAATACACTCATGTGGAGACAATATAACAAAGGAATGAATGTTAGAAAAAAGAAAAAGTTAATGATCTTTCTGATAGTCAAATCTAATGCTTGATAATCCTTAATAATTAGAAAGGCGTCAGGTCAGCGATCACACAATATAATGGCTGGAATGTTGTATTAATGGTTGGTGGTGAGTGAGGCACGCGCGCCGTACAAGGTTTTCAGGAGCTTGGTGATCACAACTGTAACAACTTGATAATTATGACCCCTGCGGGATACATGGAGGAGAGCTGAGAGATAGGAAGAATGAAGGCTGTAGCAAGGCAAGTTGTGAGCCGACACACTTGCCAAAACACACTCCAGATCTCTTGCTGTGAGAACACCAGAATTATCATCATTATCTTAGCACCATTAATGACATATTAAACACACAAAAGTGACGATCACTCAACGCTATTACCACTCCTCACATTAATATACAGAACAGTGCCTGTATCTAAAAAAAAAGAGAGACTAATTTAGGACTTTTGCAGCAAAGAAGTATAACTATCGGAGAAAGACCAAAGTTATAGTTCAGTTAAATGTTGATATACCAGGGATTCTCAATAGTGTTTCACTGGACGTTAAATAACACTCCACACTATAAGAACTGCACAATATCTACAACTCAATTTTTTTTAACTTCTCTTCTCTGGTGTTGCCTGAGTGAACGACTCCTTGTGCTCCGTCTCGCCACTTATTATTTTAGTGTAAACAACCGTGACGACACAAAACTATAAATAACAACACAAGGCCGATGGGCACACTCTGAGTCCCTCACTGTAATTAATTACAACTTCAAGTTTACTGATTACTGTTTCCCGTTGTATTTGTCATTTGAAATGATGAGAAATACAACATATATGAAAAAAATATATATATATACGGTATATGTATATATATATATATATATATATATATTTCATGTAAATCCACAATGAAAACGTGGATAAGATAAATCTTGATAAAATCACACTGGAAAATGGGAACAACGGAGCACCTTAGCTTTCGTCTTTATTCAAGACATCTTCACAGGCCTCTGAAGATGTCTTGAATAAAGACGAAGCTAAGGTGCTCCGTTGTTCCCATTTTCCCGTGTGATTTTATCAAGATATATATATATATATATATATATATATATTGAACCAAAAACATAGTAAATTGTGTAGGCGTCTTAGACAGCATAAAATTGTTTTTTGTGGTACATGTAGAAGGCCATGAGGACCCATAGTGTGGTGCCCCACAAGCATTCCGTCAGTAGGGCCAAGTGGGTGTTCATGTTCCCCACTATGTAGTGCCACGGGAACAAGTTGTACGCCACGTTGTGTCCACAGTACAGGAAGATGCTGTTCATTCCTGTTAAATTATATACATTAATAATAATTTGTAAGCAATCTGCTTTTGTTTAAAGGATAAACATGTTAATATTTATGAAATCAATATTTTTGAAACAACTGCAACGTTTTTACACTGAACATTTAGCATCAATAAATGTACCTCAAGTGGTATCCCTACCCGGGAATTTTGCTCACTTACATGTCTTTAGTATAATGTGACTAGTGTGCTAATCCTCTAGTCATCTACAAATAAGTTCTGAATTCATCACTCCAATCCTCAATTTCTTACGTTCTTCTGCTCCCGTCACCATTCCCCATTTTATATCAACCCCCATCTTATTCCTCCACTCTTCTCCATCTACCATTTCGCCCCTTCCCTTACCCTTAATCCCCATTTTTGTCAATATTGTCTTATCCCAGGATTTTTTTTCTACCCTCCCTCCACCACATCCCCTCTCCTTCTACTGACCTGCCTGGAAGAAGGGGGCTCCACTCCAAAAGCCCCAGACGTCTACCAGCAAGTAGCAGCTCGCCAGCAGGAAGTAGGCAAAACAAGACGTGACAAACACGTAGGACAGAGACCTGTGGGCGGCAACATACGTGTACAATATATTACAGAGTATGTCAAGGAGGTGGTTTTGTGATCATGAACATTATTATAAAACATAAATGAATAGCTTTACACAAAACCTAACCTACTTTGTATAATTTAGTTATCATATGATGGTAAACGACGTCTTAAAATAAACAAAGCTAATTTTGATATATATACGATTTAATTATTAATTTTCAGCGTTATATTAAAATAACAAAAAGTTATCCATTCGGCTAAAACGTCGGTTGCTTTTCAAGGCTTAATTGGCGATTATCTTTATTTAGCGTGAGAAGATAACACACAGACTGTATAATTTCGACTGTAACCTACGGTGCTGAAGAGGGACTTAGGCTACGGTCGAAATATACAGTGTTCTCGTTGTTTTGTGTTTTATCATCTACAGAGGATTTTCAGTGATAAGATAACTATAGCGGCAATGCAGTAATATTTATTATATGATCTCGTGCAATACAAGAGCATCAAATAACAACATATAAAGTGTAACAGCGGGACCCACCAGAGGTTCTTATTAAGGGGGATAACTCCGTCGTTCATGGAGGCCCCAGAGAGGCCAGCACCCAGGGCTCCCAGCACCACCGACCACACCAGCCATCGCAACACACGACCTCGGTGACTCTTGTGAGCCTGCAGCACCATCCCCGCCTGCAGTCCTAAGAACACTTGGAAGATGGACGTCATTGACCCTGTCAGGAAGGGAAGGAAGGATGCTTAGTGTCGGTTGATTAGTGTATCACATACACATACACACACACACACACACACACACACACACACACACTACTACTTACTACTCTGCTGTCACGATCATCCAACTTTGATACAATGATATGAGTTATTAAGGATGTAACCTTCGTTGGCGAGCTCTGAGGTGACTCGAAAAGCCGATACGGGGTCGGCAGGGTCGTCCAAAGATGTTGCACGTGTGGAGGGCTACATCTAGTGCGGGAGGGGCGGCGGCAGCGTCTTTCCGGCGCTGGCGTTTGTCTGCCTCGGTATGCAGTCGGGTTAACTCGAAAGTATTGACACCTCGTGTGGTGCTCCTCCACGCGTTACGGTGTCGAGTAATCGTCTCCCAGGTGAGGGGGTCGATTTGGCACTTTTTCAGGTTTGTCTTAAGACTATCCTTATACCTTTTCAGTTGCCCGCCAGCGTTACATTTACTATTCATTAGGTGACTGTAAAGTAGCTACTTTGGCAGTCTACTGTCGTCCATACAGGTAACATGGCCGGTCCAACGTAGTTGTTCATGGATAATGGTAGCCTCGATGTTCCTACAGTTGGTGCCAGCGAGAATACAGGCATTTGTTCTCTTGTCTTCCCAGCGAACTCGGAGGATGTGCTACCGCTGGATCCCCCAGACGCTTAGTGTTAAAACCTCTTCTGGAGGCTTGTAGCCTTCGCCGTTTTGGGGCGACGTGAAGTGAGAGTTTGGCTCTGACGAGCAGATGAACAGTGTCACAGTGATGTAGTCAATGAGATGCCAGTGTTTGAATAGTGGGTGTTGCCATGAACTCTTGAACTTGTCGGCCTGCCTAAACAAGGTGTTGGTGATTATGAGGTTGTGTGCAGCACACTTGCTGAGTAGAAGTAGGCTGTTGGGATTACACTTGTCTAGTCCATTTCTCCCCATGATTCCCTGCCATATGTCAGCATCTCTGCCAACTCTGGCATTGAAGTCACCTATAGGAGCACAACCTTATCTTTTCTGAGATAGAGGTTAATACTCTGTCAAGGGCGACGTAAAAGGCCTCCTTGATGTCATCCTCTGCATCCAGTGTTGGGGCATATGTACTGATGAAGAAAGCATGACGTGAGTGATTCATTGGGACTCGGAGCGCCATGAAACGCTCATTGATCCCAACAGGCATTTCAGTTAGCCTATGTAGGATGCATTGGCAGATGATAAAGCCAACTCCGTAAATGCGGTATCTCTCCGCAGGAGGCTTACCCTTCCAGAAGACGGTATAGTCAGATCCCCGTTCTGTGAGTCGATCCTCGTCTGGGAGCCGGGACTCACTAATGGCTACTTTGTTTATGTTATACCGAGACAGCTCTTTTGCCACAAGGGCAGTTCTTCTTCCAGGACGCTCATTTGCGCCAGTATCCAGAAGGGTCCTGACATTCCATGCAGCGACCATAAGAGGTTGGTTCTTTCGACAGGCTATGTTTAGGGCATCTTTTTTAGCCTCCTCCCCATGTAGGGTGAGCAAAGTGGCTCCACGAAAGGGCTGCTCAGTCGCACAGACAGGATCGAATTGCACTGCTGCCTAGATCCCAGTGCATAAACACACACACACACACACACACACACACACACACACACACACACACACCCATTGCCACACATTTAAGTATGGAGGAGTCAGGTCAATTTTGATTTTCTCTTAACATCACCTTTATGCTGCAGTTTAAGTGAACCAGTTACCTATGTTTTCACTTCCCAATAATTGAGAAATTATAACGTGTAAAACTTTCAGAATACAAATTATGAAGACGGGATCAGATATTGGAAAGTTACATTTACCGCCCGTAAAATGTTAGTTACAATAGTTGTACAATTCGGTTTACAAGGCGTTATTTTCGGCAATCACTGGATGGTTCAGCAGCCTGGCAGCGGGAAGTTGAGGGTTCGCCAAGTTGTCTGGCACTAGCCCTGCCGTATTTCAGTAAATTAAAAATTATATACATTTTTCTAGTACAGTGGTGAATCTCTGTCATTTCTTACTTCATTGGTCTACAGTCTGTATGCAAAATGCTTTATGCAAGGAGAATTGGCAAAACGTGAGAGACCGGGTGACGATAGAGGCCAGTGTATCTTCTGGTTTATTACTGTATCAATTTATAAACGGTATACAAACGAGAGTATACGCAAGTGACCCTATGAATAGAACACAGACACTGTGATATCAAATTGACAGGAATATTGTAGCAGTTGCTAAAAATCTGTCCCACGTAATCTCGTGCATAACAAGTAGTAATAAGCAATTCGTACTAAGTAAGCATGAAATATCTTCTTTTTATCTAATAAATTTCTACATAAAATGTTATCTTAACGTAAACCGTGTTTTAACATACAAGCTCCATATACGTTTGAAGATTTTTTCTAGTCAGGACTGCACCACTGCTCTAGCGCCTCGACCAGGTCTTTACACCTCTTGAATAAAATTACTATTATATATATATATATATATATATATATATATATATATATATATATATATATATATATATATATATATATATATATATATATATATATATATATATATATATATAGAGAGAGAGAGAGAGAGAGAGAGAGAGAGAGAGAGAGAGAGAGAGAGAGAGCTGGTCAGGAAGGCACCCACCCCACCAGCTATTCCCTTCCCCCTCTGGATCCGTCAGTGACTATTGATAACCTCTAATAGCCTCTCTTTTACATATTATTCTGTAATCACACTTGATCGCATTGATAAGTGACTGACTTTCCCAGCATCGCGAAATGGCAGTGTACACATAGGCATGCGTGCCATCTGTTGGTAAACAAAGACTAATTTTGGTAGCTCAGACTCGAATCTTTGAGGATTCTGGTCCGGTAGAACACCACAATGGAACAAGGATGAAGATCCTTACCCAGGACTCCCTCGGGGTCAAAAGCAGCCGAGCCATAGATCACCTTGGCTGTGGGATTCTGGTAGAGGTGGGCGGAGGTGAGCAGCCAGCGGTCGACCTCCCCGGCAGCGCCTCCCACACACTGCGGCAATGCTGTGCCATTGTCCATCAGCGCCACTCCTCCAGGACCCAGGTAACCCCTTCACAATATACACACCTCTTAGTGATGTAATATAAACTGAACTGACTTACCCTAAACAAAACTGATATAATCTAAACAACTGACAACCAAATTTGCATAACCTAAACAAAACTAACTTTACCTACGCTAGAATGACGTAACTTAAACTGATATTAACCTAAAAGCCAACCTAATATAACCTAAACTTAACTGACATAACCTAAATTAAACTTACAAAAACCAAACGTAACCTAACCTGAATTTACGAAATATGGCCTATTTTAATCTGAACAGCCTAAATACAAACGTAACGTAACCGCTGCTATATATAACCTAACCTTAACTGAATTAACTTATCTTACGTTATTATATTTATCTAACTTAACCCAGAGTGAAATATCAGACCCTAAAACTGAGTCTCTACTTTACAGTATGTCAGGACTTTAAATGGGACGGGGTGGTACTCACGTTGGACAGTCTGGGACGGGCAGGAGGAAGGTGATGAGAGTGTGGGCCATAACGATGAGCAGGTGGACGGCCCACTGAGGCAGGATCTGTATCACGTCAGACATGATGATCCCCACGTCACTCTGAGGGCGACAAGGGGGAATTGGCTGGTCAATTGGACCCTAGAACTAAAACACTCCCAACTTAAACATTGGGATTGGAATCTAATGGACCTTTATTCTATAATGGGATGCAACGACAATGGACCCCAATCGGAATGGGCCCCAGTTGAAAGTCTTCAAAGTTAATTAATCCAATTCTAATAGTTAGGTTAGTTGGGGGCGAGTAGGACTGGAGCCCATTTGAGCTATAGTACAAGGGGAAATGACTCCTGAGGAATTTCAGAAAAATCTTTTCCTAAGTGAAAATATTATCTTAACCAGCCAGAGAACACTCACCTGGTACTGGGGAGGTTGCTCAGGAGTGAAGGCCAGGGCGATGCCAGCAGTGACCAAGTAGGTGATAGCGAAGCGCTGCAGGACCCCGGGGATACGGTACTTGTCCAGGTAGATCCACCCTCCTAATGAGTTAAGGATGATCCCCAGTATGAAGAGTTTGATGGCGCGCTGCCAGGGAGACAAACAACAGTGTTACTAGGTCACTACCACGTCATATCTGGAGCTGAATGCAAATATCACTCATTATGTCATTACTGAGTCATGATTGGTGGTGAATGTATTGTAACGGTGTTGTCATATCTGTGTCATGAGCGAGTGAAAGACAAAATTTTTTTATTACGTGACAATTGCGAGTGTGAGGAGAGGAGTGAGACATTAATTGTGCGAGCGGTGAGAAAAGTGTAGTGAAGGGAGATTAGGACAATGTGAAAGTAGGTGAGTTTGTCAGCATCTGAATGATGATAAAAGTGCTGTGGTAATGTGGAGAAAGTGAGTCGTTTGATACCAAGAGAGTGAAGAGAAAGTGAGTAAATGGAAAGTTAGAACCCGACAGTGTGAAAGTAAAAGGATTGTAGGGGAAAGTTGAACAGTAAGAGTGAGAGTATAAAACAAGTGGGAGTCGGAAGCGGAAGAGGAAAGTAGGTAAGAGAGATAGAGTTGAAGGCGGTGGCACACTGGACAATTTCCTCCAAAGTCCAAACATTTTTGGCAAACACGGTCCGGCCAGCAAAACAAAGACTTCTTCCGTCACACTGGGGTGTTTTGTTGGGGCGTTTACCCAAAGCAACGAAATCTACAACAAAGCGTCTAGACGAGGTTCACCATGGATCCCGTTACTACAGTTGAGGCCTTGCAGGACTGTGGTATAGTTCTTCAAATTGCTGAAACAAGTGAGGCGTCTGAAAAAGCTGAAGAAAAGACAATGGGGGCGTCGTGAAGTTTCTTTAAAAGTGGCGGTGGCTGGATGGTCAAGAGACCCTGAATAATGATTTAATAATACAAATTAAGTTTTAAAGTGACGAATAAATAGAAATATGTTACTGTTTATGTGTTATATTTTAAATTATTATAGTTTCATGACTTATTAAATTTTTACTTGAAATTATATAAAGCTCATTTGAGCACTAATCCGACCAGCAAATATATCCGCCAAACCGTTGTCCATTTCTCAGAACAGCAAAAATCCTGCTGCTTGCTGGGCCATCAGGCCAACGGCCAGCAAAACGGGAAACATGTTTGAAGGAAAGTGCCCAGTGTGTCACCGCCTTAAAGGCAGAGTGTTGGGTCTCACCTTCAGTATCCTCAGGAAGATCTTGTATTTGGGGGTCTTGCGCTTGAGTGCTGAGCGTAGACCCATCGGTATACACACACCCATAATCCACATGAACCTGCGTAAAGAGCAGCTGCTGTTAACCGGTGTCTCTGGACTGTTGTGTGTGTGTGTGTGTGTGTTGGTCCAACCACAACAAGGTCACACACAAGTTGCCAAACACTTACGTAGAGAATGATGTATTGATGAAGAAAGTATTTTTACTACAAACTGCCGTGTTTGAGTTCTGGAAGTTACGTATACAGCAACTACAGGGGTGTCAAATATAGACTACTCAATAGTTAGAAAACTTTTATTTAAGTGGAAACCATGATAATTGTGTGCATGAAAATTAAGGTTCATATTCACAAAAGGATGAAAATAAAAAATCTTTAACATAACTGAAAACTTCCACACACGGTGAATATAATTGTCACCACATATATTGGTGCCCTTCACTCCTGTGTTCCTGGTTGAAAGTGAGGAGAGTGTCCTGTGTGACCCTACCAGAGGTAGGTTTTCTCCGATACTCCGATTTCCCCCTGTACAGTACTACCACTGGACCCATCACTGCTAAAGGGCAAACTCTTACGATTTACACTGCAGGCTCACGCAATACTTCACTCATCAAATTTAATGACCATCTTTCTGGGTATAAAAGACCCTAAAGGGAATAAAGTTCACAGTACTTTGATTTCACTAAGCAGACAATTGATATAACACTGCAGATACAATTGTCTTAATCATTAATGACAAACTAGTACGAGAGATCAATATATTGGCCGATCTCCGCTACGTTGTGGTCACTGTGGCAGTGATACAGGTACAATATGGGGGCTTAATTCACATTTCCATAAAAAGAACGATTAATACTATCAACATAGTATTAATCGTTCTCATCAGGGTCATCAATTGTTTACTAGAGATCGTTTACCTCAAATATTCTCCAAGATTCCACTTTTAACAAACTGCCATGCTAAATATGAGCTCAAAGACAATATCTATACAGTACAGTTTGATTAATCTTCATAAAGACAATATAATGGAACTCTATTGAAGAGGAAACGGTACGGAAAGGCCGACGACTCACCAGGGGAAGACGAGGTCGGCCACCTGCAGGCCGTTCCAGGTAGAGTGTTCCAGAAACCAGTAGTTACCAGCGCCGTAGTTAACGAAGATCATCAACACTATGCTCATCCTACCGGGGAGAACACACTGCAATTTGTTGTTTATGAGTGAGCACTGGAATGGTGATAATGGCAGGAAATGTACACAGTCCACACTCACACAAATAGAAAAGTGAAGCAAGTGTTTGGCAGAGCAGAAGGAAAATGAAGGTCTGCTCGTGAAATATTGCGACCTTATTGGCCATTCGGTAAATAGGGTAAATAATTTACCCTTACTGTATTTACCTAATGGGCACCCATTAGAAGTTGCCAAGCCGAGGGAAGGAGGCCAGTGGCCCGTGTAGGAACCAAACAATGTTCTTGATAATTTTGTCAATGGGTATTTTGAAGCCCAGTACTGCTCTTGATTGTATGACCTGTAACTGACCTAACCTCCCAGGTATTCTTAGAGTATTTAATCATCCCTTGACATTTGAATAGTGTAGGTCTCTACTCTTCAGATGATGTAAAATATTATATTTGTATGAGGTGTGTCCCTAATTTTACATAAGAATTTATCCTAAAATATCGGCGTATGCATAGAAATGTAAGTCAATGTTGACATTACCTCGTACTACGTGGTCTTGATTACATCACACACACACACACACATATATATATATATATATATATATATATATATATATATATATATATATATATATATATATATATATATAGAGAGAGAGAGAGAGAGAGAGAATAATAATTATTAAATTAAGTTAATTTCATCAGAGCCAATAAATTGAAGCAATATTTTCTAAAACTACTTTAACAATGTTCGGGGTTGCTTCAGTATGTGTCAAGAGAAGAGGAAGTAGCTGGGGTAATATGTTTGGCCTCGTAATACATAAAGTATACTCTCTTATTTTATGTCTCCTTCCATTATACACACTCCTGAACCCTGTGGGTATGTATGACTGTTTTCCCCAACATGTACACAGTTCTGTCAACGGGTCACTGGTGGGTATGTTACCTGTAGGCAGGTAATGTAAATGTTTAATAATTTGCCAAATAGGGGGGTAACATGTAAATGGGTCACCTGCATACAGGCAACATGTAACTGGTAAACCAGTCATAATGGATGAAACGACCAGTCAACTCACCCTCTGAAGGTGTCGAGGGACTTGACTCTGATTCTCGCTGGGGGCTTGTTGACGGCCGCCTTAGCTGGCTCACTCGTGCTGAGGGTCGATGATGTCATCTGTAGCTCCACCTGTGCTACCACACGCACACCGAAATGATTAGCGATTGCACCACTGTAAGCACACACACACACACTACCTGTTAGCTGTTCAACACCTACATTAATCTAATGAACGCTTTTGTTAAACCACCAATGTATGTAATAAGTCATTTATGTCCAATGTATATTTTCAGCCTTCGGGCTGCTGAACTTTTTCAATAAACCGTTAATTATTATTATTATTATTATTTTTAATATTATTATTATCATTATTATTATTACACATACATACACACACACCAAAATGATTAGCGACTGTACCACCGTAAGCGCACACACACACACACACACACACGCCAAAATAATTAGAGTAAGTGTGTGTGTGTGTGTGTGTGTACCTGACCCACCTGAGAACCGTCGTCTTTCCTGGCGGAATACTTGTTGGAATACCATCGGCGGGCAACCGTCGCTGCCGCTATTAACAGTCCCAGGCCAGCGTACACTGCCACCGCTATCACGAAGGCTGTCGGGAACACTTAGTCACTATTCTGTGTCACTTCTACTCTGTCACCACTACTTTCTGTCATCACCACTCTCTCACCCCCATTATCTGTGTCACCCAACTCCATGTCATCTATACCATCTGTGTCACCCTAACTCCCTGTGTCATCTACATAGTATATTATCTGTGTCATGCCCTTTATTTGACCAAACTGCGTAACAAAGTTGCCAATGGTGACGATAACTTTGACTCACAGTTTGCCTTCCCTTACACAGGAGGGCAAACTTTTTGGTTCTTGTCTGAACTACCCGGGGATCCGTGGTCAACAATAATAATACCAAGGTACACAACCTTGGGAGTTGGGACCCATATAATGTGTGTGTTTACAGTTTCAGGTAACTGTTTCCGTTTTGGAGCTATAGCTGGAACAGGTAGACAGACACTTCTTTTATATATATATATATATATATATATATATATATATATATATATATATATATATATATATATATATATATATATATATATAATGTGTGTGGGTACTTTATTTTATAACACTGGTGATTTTTATCTTAAGAGCCTGTGTATGGAATATTTCTAGAAAGCGATACTATCAATATTTTCATAATATTTGTGAGTTGTGAATGATATCAAGAGTTATACGCAAAGGGATGGTAAATAGGAGAGGAGCGGTAGTGGCGCTCACCTCCGTACTCGAAGACGGGGTCCTTAAGGGTAGAAAAGGTACAGTTTCCTGCCTCCGTCAGGTTGAGCTGGTACACCCCGAACTCCCCGAGCGAGGCGCCTTGCACTTTACAACCCTCGTTCCTGTCAGCAGACACATAGTTATGGCTTCTATAAGAGTTGTTCTACAGTGAATCATTTTATTTATATTATTGATGCATGTAACTGAAAGGTTCAATTTCAGTACTAATTGAATAAATTATTTTATAAGACAACTAAACTTAACCATGTCATTTAGTCTACGTTAAATAATACTCATGAATTACAATATTCTAATCAAAACTTAAATGTTGCTACTTAATGCTGAACACGCTCAGGTGACGTACACTTCGTCTGGCCTGATGTAAGGACCAGTGTAGTTGGTGAGGAGGAAGGTCCAGGGATGGTGGGTGGAAAGAGTCATGTTGTTGCTGCCGCCTGCTGTCACATACAACTCGGGCTGTAAGGGACACTAACACACAAAACCTCAGTCAGCACCATTTACTCGAAAGTATCATCTAAAGTTAAAATGGTATTACAATGGAACCTTGATATATAATCAGCCATGGTTGAGACCAACTAGCCGCCGGATTTCTTAATTTTCTAGGTTTTGGGTAGTAAAATATACTGGTCCACAATTCTAGTACATTGCCTCGATTTATCAAATTTGTTTTAATTGTCACTTTTCTCATTATTGTTAGCGAAATGTGCTAGCTTATAGTCTCCCTAGTGTAAACACCCGCTTGACCTGTTCCTGACCTCCTGGTGGCTTGGCGTGGCATTTGTGTTATGTGGATGTGTACATGCTCATGGGTGGCTTGAGGAGTATCTCTGTTTAGCCCGGCACATGAAACCTCTTCATTCAGATTTCTTATTTCTCCCGATCCTCACTTGAATAACTTATTGAGAAGAACCAGTGAGGTCCTCCTTTATTCCTTTTAACTAATTAATTAAAAAAAAAAGTTAATTTAAAGTGAATTTTAGTGATTATATTTTCCAAGAATATCTGTGAAGTAACCCACATACTTGATGAGGAAAATCATAATGTACAAGGAACTTTATACTGACAAAAGTGAACTACATACGTCTCCTATTCAAATGAACTAATCAGTAAAAATATAGTGTTGGGGCCTAGAGTGAGAGGAAAGATTCACACCTATACCGTAAATGGGTATGTAAGGATGACAGATCAAACACACAACGAGAAACTATAGGCTGCTGAACAATGCGTTATGACAGGTATTGGTAGATTAATGTCAGGATAAGAATTATCAAGTTAGGTGAAGTTATAGTTAGGTTAAGTTGAGGCTAGGTCAAGTTTAATCAGGCTAGGGTACGTGATAGTGGTGTTAGGACTCACCCCGTAACAGTCACCGTTGAGAGCATAGAGGTAAAGGTCGGTGTCATGCTCAGACACCACGTTGAGGTAGGCCTCATCCACTGACAAAGCCGTCAAATCAAACCCCATAAACTCTTCTACACCCGGGTCCTCCAGGAATGCAGACCCCATTTCCAAACCTTCTGAAATCTACCAAAAAAATAATTATTTATTGTTTGCTAATTCATTAACAGTGTAAAAATGATTTACGTCAATAATTTCTGACTCACATTCTACACTACATGCTCCCAAAGGGACGCACAAACACATATTCGTGCCTTTACACACCTAAGAAGAAACGTCCTCCATTAGGAAATTCCTGACATATTTTTCTAGTTAGATCCAAGGAGTGGCAAACCCAATACAAGACATTCCGTCAAGTGCAACTTAAGGGAGCACAAGAAAATATAAGTAATAATAATAATAATAATAATAATAAACGGTTTATTAATAGAGTTGCAGCCGGTGGCTGAAAATATACAGACTAACATTTGATTTAGACATAATGATATAATATGCAGTGAATACATTTACAGGGCTGTACAGTACATAAATCGGGAGTTGTTTATTATTTTAACAATAGATGGGATGGTGCTGTTCTTATATCTATCGGTGGGGGCTCTTATGGGCTGTATTTTGTTGTAGTGGCGGACTGCGCGAGGTGGGTGGGGGGCTGCCGGTGGCAGGAGGTAGCGATGACGAGGGTGGTGCAGTAGTCCCCTGCCAAACCTTTCCAGTGCTTGGTGGTGAAGGTCACTGAAGGATGGCATTTCCAGGGTGGAGAGAGCGTTGGTGTAGCCGGAGTATTCTGCGCCGAGCATGATTCTGCAGGCCCTTTTCTGTACCTTCTCTAGCTGACGTTGTTGGGTGGAGTTGAGAGAAGACGACCAGGCTGGTGACGCATACGTTAGTTTGGGGAGAATAAAGCGTTGTAGATGGTCCTCAGCTCTGGCGAGGGTGTCCCAAGTGACCTAAGTCTTCGTAGCATGTAGAGACGGTACGAGGCTGCCTTGACTGTGTTATTTACATGGGCCTTCCAGTCAAGTTTGTTGTCTATAGTTACACCCAGGAGTTTGGCAGACTGCACCAGCTGGAGAGGATGGGCACCCACTGTGACTGCTGGGGCTTGCACTGGAGTGGTGGCGGTATTGATGTGCATGACTACGGTTTTGGTGTGGTTGATGGTGACCTTGTTCTCCGTAGTCCATGCCTGTAGCCTGTCCAGGGTGCCTTGGAGCGATGAGTAGTCTGGTGCGGTGTTGTCCACTGAAACCCCCACAGTGCAATCATCCACGTACTTCCACCTGTGAGGAGTGTCCGATAGAGCGTCGTTGATCTGGATGAGGAAGCACAGTGGTCCCATCTTGATCCCCTGGGAAACACCGCAGGTGAGGTGTTGGAATGTAGAGACCAAGCCCTGATACCTCACTGCTTGGCGACATCCACTCAAGAAATCAGTGAGCCATGAGACCAGGTTGGTGGGCAGCCCTCGTGCAATAGCCTTGTTGATAACAGTGCAGTGATCAACAAGGTCAAAGGCCTTCCTGAAGTCCACAAGGGCAACGGCCAGTGATGTCTTACGTTTCTGCAAGTTTTTGTGCAGAAAATCCAGAAAGCTCACCAAGCAGTGTGATGTAGAGGAGGTCCTCATATTGCCAGATTGCTGTGAATCAATTGACTGATAGATTCTGGCAAATGCGTAGGTAGCAGGCCAGAAAATAATAAACACAATGACGAGCCCAAAGGTCTTGTTGAGCCAATTTACACAACATTTCCCAGGGTTTTTTTATATAAATGTTACGACCTTTTTGAGAAGCTTGCCCCTTTTTCAAAAAGGCTAAATAGCTATTTGGCTTTTTTTTTGCGTACTGACATTAACTGCCAGGTCACGGTTAGGTTAGGAGTCTGGTATTTAATGCTATCATGCAAAGAGGCCATTCTTTTAGCATAAGACCAATTTCACAAAAAGGCCGTAATATCTACTTTATGAACGTTCACCATTCCTTATTAAGTAAGGATGCACAAACACATCAAATATCCACGAACAACACAGCACATGATTACTAAACTGCTGATAAATACTTAATAAGAAGCGTAACCCCCTGAGAGGCTGTCACCCTCTAGTGTTACTACTAGTGCCTACACTCACATCTCCCCACTCTAAATACAAAATGAGTCAAAACTGGTATCCATTCTAGAACACAAACTATGTCGCATATTACTTCTGAAATTCCACAAAATAGGTTTATTGTTAGACATCACGACCTTGACAGCGTCTTGGGCATTAAACTTTATTACACTGTAAAGGTTGAATGTCGTTCCTTGAATCCCCATAACTACTTAATTCAGTAAACAGAGAGTAGATAAAATTTTCCTTGGCAGTGTTGTAACAAGCACATCAAGTAGTATTAAAAGAGACGTATGAAAGGAGTCTGGCGGAGTATGGTTCCGAGAGATAAAAGGAATGTAAGTTGTATCATTATTACGTCATCATCAGTATTTTCAACATTACTTCTATTTCAAAGACAAACCTACATTAGCTAAATTTGTATATGTAAAACAAAACTGGTACATCATTGACTACTACACACATGGCAGGTACAGTACAGTATGTGGACCTTGTTTGCTTTGTATCTTTCAGGTTTAGAAGCACCCTCGAAGAAGGAAGACTGCTGGTTTGTTTTCAGATCCTCCGTTTATCTGTAACATTCGCGGCTTTGAGTAAATCAATTAAAATAAACTTAACTACGGAATTACACTGATTTTCATTATCTATTTTCATGGTTGTTATTAAAGTTAGATATGGACTAATATAAGTGGAACAAATTGATTACAAGAAGCAATCTGGACCTGATAAAAACTTTTCTGAATAAAGAGCAACTGATCTGATTAGTTGAGTTGTTTTAAATCTAAACCGTACCCCTACATATTTGTTTGAAATACGACTATTGATATCTTTATACAACTACCACCCGTCACACAAAGTTTGAGAAGAACTTAAAGATTCCGAGTCAGACAAGAACGTGCAGGCGAATACAAAATACACCTAGACGTGACGCAATCATTGTACCTTAACAACGTAAATAACAAGATAAGTTCGGTGACCTCTCACTCCCTGAAGCCTTGCTCTCTTATCTGACTCGGGTAAATCATTTCTTATCTAATTATTAAAGTGAACTTTTATCTTTCATATATTTCACAAGTGTACAAAGCTGTAGAATAATTTGTGTGGGATCAACCGAGTGTTAATTACACGTCGGTCACCAAAGCCGGAAGGGAAATGTAATGACCCACCCTGACTGTCTATTGACCTATCTGATATATGTCTATTTTATTTCTCCGTCTGTGTTTTCCAGTTCGCGTGTCCATTTGTTCTTTTGTTTGCCCTTTAACTTCTGTTCTCAATTTAATTCCCCCTGAACCACAGAAAACCATACACTTTCTTAATGCTCTTGGGAGATGAAGTCAGTAAGTAATTGCTTATCATGTTATCCCTCAGCGACCGAGGAGTTATTCGTCGTGCGTGCTGACACCCTTTTTAACTCGCGCGAGTGTGTGTGCATGTTTTCATCTTTGCGTTTACCTGCATATGTGTGTGTGTGTGTGTGTGTGTGTGAAAGGTGGAGCGAGGGGCGGGGGCAACTGTTTGACGGTGTATGTAGTATATACACAAAATCGTGTGTGCACCTGTGTCCTGATCTAACAAATCAGCTTTTAATTTCTAACGCTTAAGAGTATTGAGTCACGAGTAAGTCTCAACTAGTCGAGTGACAATTACACCTGACAACTGCAGAGTGCAATCTAGAAACAATAGCAATTTACGCATACACATTGGTGGTAGGACTGCAGATCCGTGGTCATACATAAGTAAAAATACGAGGTTTGACGTAAAGGGAAAATGTGGATTGTGGGGTAATATACTAAAAAAAAATTGAAAAAGTTATTTAATCTTTCTTAACCTATACAAACCATACAACTAAAAAGTTTACCTTATTTGTCTTTTCGGTGTTATTTTGTGGTGGTGAAGTTATTTTCGGTGTTTAGTATGTGATGGTGTTGTTTTCGGTGCGCAGATGAGAGACCCACACTCATAAGCGATTCTTAAAATTTTTACACGTTATGAAATGTTAGGTAAAGTTATCAAAGGTTTGTTTGGTGTTCTTTTTAAGTATTTTACCCCACATTTTCCCTCTACTTCAAAGCCCTGCCCACTTTGAACAACTAATATTGTGGGTAGTTTTATTGGTTAAAATATCCGAAAAAATATAAGTTTCCAACAGAAACGTTATAAAAAAATCAGTTTTAGTTTTTTCTCTTTCTCCCTATATAAGACTCAATATATTAGTAGATTTTGGCAACTACTAAATATTTACCCAAATATGTGTTCCATAGATGATAGACGCAAGATCATTTGGATCACGAGGGTTTCTTGGAATTAATTGTCATTATGACTTCCAAGTCTCGAGATGTACAATTAATATAAACTAAATTGGTGTACTTTTTAATTGATAGAAGTTGCTATAGTACGGGTTTTTTTTTCATCTGAGAAGAGATGCCCCGCCCCCTTCTCAATAACTTACAGCGGATTGGCTGTTGCAAATCCGTCTGATTTCTGACGAGAAAGATATTTAGATAAATTATATAAATATACATACATTTATTATTCAAACATAAGAACGTAGAAAGTTAATCAGAAATCTTATACATGAATTAACTGTTAAACTGTGGTAGCAAATTCACGCTTTCAAAGGACGCATTTAATAAATACTTATTTTTACCCACAATAAAGCATACTAAGACAAATTATGTATTAGTAATACTACATTATGCGACAACTAACATTTTAAAAGATCAGAATCACATTGAAATATTACACGGCCGTCAGCAGAGGCGGGAAATGTGAAGTGGCGAAGTAAAAGTAAAAGTAAACACCGTGTGTGATGTCTGCTAGGTGTAAGTGTGTGTGTGTGTGTGTGTGTCAGACTTTCCGATACAAATGCTGCCTTTTTATGGTCTGCGTGCGAAGGAGCTGTAAGTGAGATAGTCTCATGCTTCACTGTTCTGAAGTGAGTGAGACAGCTTCCATTCCTTATATGTATTGTAGCAGTTGTTTGTTAGATGATATACGGTAGTCACTGAATCCTGCCATCACCTGTACAAGGCTCCAGGTATCAGTAAAATAAACACTCATACTCCAGCATCTACCAAACAACATGACACATCAAACCGGAAACATTTTTAATGCATTTCTCGCCTCTGGTTACTTCCCAAGGAAATTCAAAATAGGGATCTTCAGAATTATACTAAACAAGGGAAATCCCCCACACAAGTATCAAACTAAAGACCAATTTCTCTTCTAGAAACACCGGGAAAAGTCCTGGAAAAAAATTATGAACCACCGACAGAGTTCACACCTCGAACTTGAAGAGAAATACAATCTCAGGCAGCATGGATTTAGAAAACACAGAGGAACCCATACAACCATAGCTCTTATCTACGAAAACATAACAAAAGCATTGCACAATAGAGATTAAGACCAGACTTGACCAACATTGGCGCAGGTAGATACACTCAGGAACCAATTTATGCCCAGTACTTGCCAACAGTGCGGCTAATGAGCCGATCAGTGGCAAAGAAGATAAATATAAAAAAGAAAAAGTGTGTATGTGTGATGCCTTCCGCTGCATGACATCCATTCCACACAAGTAGTAAATAGTGGGTGTGAGTAAGGTCACGTGTGGGGGGAGGTCCCGGGGAGGGGAGAGCGCACTACAGTGGACTCACGAGAACCTTGGCTGCTACGAAACACATGGAGTACTGGAAGCGCCATTAAACTCAATATACATTAACTAGAAAAGGGCGAGACGTGAGACAATTCAGCCGTAGTCTTACAAAGGAGACTATTGATAGACTGACTTAAGGTTAGTGAGTAAACACTACCAGAATATATGGTGGAGTGTTGGGGCCATAAACTAGCCCCCCCCCCCATTCATGGCCCCAACCAGGGTTACTTGGTACACTATTCTGTCCAATATTATAAAAAGAAAAAAAATGAGAGAATATAGTTTCAATGTTGAGCTCTTTACTAATACTAATTGTACGTGTTTATGGTCCTGACAAAACTTTCACGGGGAAAGTATTCATATTTACGCCTATGATTTTTACTTTTATCCTGTTCGCTACTGATTAGTTCACTTCCCTTTGAGACTATTCTATGGTTGTATCGTTGTTTCTGCAGGTTTAAGCACTTGTGTACGAGGTCCTTCCTCTGCTGAAAAAAATACTCTCACTTTGCCAAATAAAATATTAAAAGTGGCGTCCCTGTAGTGAAGGGGTTAAAGTCGCCCAGGTAAAAGTGGTGACCCAGTGACCCAACCGACCAGTTAAGCGTCAACACTGAACGCACACAAATCATTGTTAACGGGCAGTAAAGACACCTTCATGTAATATGAACATTTTATAAAATATTTATTTAAAGAAAATTGTGATCAATTATACTGATGTCAAGAAAAACTGTGGAGAAGATTTAATCGTTGAATTAAGTTAATTCTGTGACTGAATAACAAACTTTTGGGTAAATATATTATGCAATGCAGTATGTTAAAATCTTACCTTATACAGTAATGTAGATAAGCCTGTATAACCTCTGCTTTAGAGTTAATTCGTATTTTTCACTCGCTGTATATCGATCGTATAGAAATAAACAGTTACAGCTGTATCAGGCGAAAAAACTAGGTTCCTACAGACGTCACCGCGCGAACACACAGGCAGTGAACGGCTGGCTGTACATCCACTCACCACGACATCTCTGTCTCTACTAAGGAAGGCCACAGGTTAGTTGCGGGCCGTCTGTCGACTCGCTTCCTTCATCAAGGTTGCCCTGACTTACAAAAGTACCGTTTTGTATTGCAGGCTAAGCACGTTCCCGAGGATATGAATTCCACAAGGTGGGAACTCCGTTGTTCTGTTTGTTTGTTAGTTTTCTTGTTCGTCCGGATATTATATCAAGCCCTTTTTGAGCTAGGAAACTAAAATTTGGACACAATAAAGGACAAGTGCTTTGGGAAAATATGTTATTTATTCAGTTTTTGGTTCGATGTTGTTGATGACATGTTGGGCGGTGTACATAAACATGCCACTTCTTGTCTCATTCTTCCTCCAATTTAAAAACATAAAGCTTGGCCAAAACAATTTCCTCAACATGTAACAAAATCTCGGATATACCGTCTACAGCTATCACTCCCTGCGACCCCATTTTAGTAACAACGAGGTCTGTGACCTATATTATAGCAAAATGATTTTCGTGTTGTATGTATTAGCGACAAACGGTTAACGGTTAACAAATTTATTGGCAAAGCTTGGAGTACAGTTTGCCTATTCTGAGTAATTCAGTCACGTCTTGACACTGAAGGTGCAATCACTTCTCATTGACATGCAGGACAGAGGTTCATACACAAATAAATAGATCATATTCATTAACAGTATACAGTATATAGGTCTGAGTCATGTGGGTGATATCACTGTTCACTGCCACGCAGGACAGTGGTTCATAATAGTTATACAATAGAAGTCACATTCTATTTGAGGACTAATCAGTGTGGGCTGGCAAATTTTGGTTAAGCAGCAAGAATGTCCTCAAGCACTCCTGATTCAATGTAGTTTTTATGGGGAATAGCCCACCCGGGCACAGGTCTTCGACCCACAACGGGGCTTAGGGGGTGAAAAAATAAGAGTAAAAAGAAATTAAAAATAGAAAAGGAAATGATTACATTCATCTACACTATTAAGATGACGGAAAACCAGCTTTTTGAAGTAAGAGATTGTATGAGTATGGAAACACAGAACAAGGCAGAGCATTCCACAGTTTGGCTGTGTGAGGAAAGAAGTATGTACTACAACGGGTTATTCTAGTGTGACCGACATCCACACAGAAACGGTGGGCACCGCGGGCAAGACGAGTAGTTACGAGCCCACGGCCTTGCCGGCGGTACACAGGATACCAAATTCACCGAACACTGCCCGTTAAAGTACCTGTAAAAGAGAGAGAGTGAAGCAACAATGCGGCGGAGAGAAAGGGAAGACAGCCCACTCCTAATCATTGTAAAAATTAATTATCAACAACTCGTAATCAATCAGTGTGTTCACTCCCAGTCAATCTTACCTTCTTGCACTGTCACTATGTTGAAATGCTCTGTAGTATAACCTTCTCCCCACCTAGTTATTATATATCATATTTGTATCACTTTGTTTAACTGTATATTATTTGTCAATTAAGTGACCCATTCCCCAATGATGTAACTGTATATTTTCAGCCTTCCGGCTGCCATGCTTTCAATAAACCGTTAATTATTATTAGTTATTATTACACACACACACACACACACACGGGTCCTCAGGTCCTTCGTTCCAATTATCCAACACAATTAGAACCTAAAGTAGTCACAAAAATCGTTTGTCGCTAATACATACAACACGAAAATGATCTTGCAATAATATAGGTCACAGACCTCGTTGTTGCTAAATATGGGGTCGCAGGAAGTGATAGCTATAGAAGGTATATCCTAGATTTTGTTATGTCAAAGGAAATTGTTTTGGCCAAGCTTTATGTTTTTAAATTAGAGGAAGAATGAGACAAGAAGTGGCATGTTTATGTACACCGCCCAACATGTCATCAACAACATCGAACCAAAAACTGAATAAATAACATATTTTCCCAAAGCACTTGTCCTTTATTTGTGTGTGTGTGTGTGTGTGTGTGTGTGTGTGTGTGTGTGTGTGTGTGTGTGTGTGTAATAGCAATAGGTGGTGGCAGCGTCGGTCAAGTAGGGCAGGGAGTTCCCCAGGTGGGTCGTACAAGAAGTCCTTGCACTCTCACTTTCATCCTCTAATGCCGCTCACAACCTTCACCTAGCACCCCGGGATGTTGCCGGGCTCGCTCACCTGAGACGGGTAGGGCACGAAAGGCTGGAGTATGAATACCCACAAATCTTGTGTCCTGTCATTTCGTACTTATATTACAATACGATGACAAATGCAATATGTTGTTGTGTAAATTGTTAATTGTGAAGCAAAATTTAGAAACAAAGTTTGGGATATTTTTTGATCGAGAGAGCGAGTAGTGAAAACGTCAGTTGGGAGGGAGTGAACTGCAGTTTCTATAGTGTGCACCCGAGTGCTGTACACCTTAACCTACTTCCTCTTATCATGACAGACACCCAACACTAACACGATGATATTCTAGTCATTATCATAGACGTTAACAAGGTGTTATATACGAAATAAAACACGATGACACATTTATTTAGCACCACTCGACGTAGATGCCGATACTTGCAGCCGGTGAGCTTCATCGAGGATCTAGTACAGTATTAGAATCCTTGGCTTCACTTGTGTGGACAATAACATAATAGCCTGCAACACATAAATTTGATCGTTTCTTCGTCAACATTGACATACTAGCATATTCTAGGCAGCTACCAAACAGGGAGGTACTAAAGCCTGGGACGATATTGGAGGCATAATGTATTGTCTAATGGTAGACCCTGCTGCCATGTGGTATCACGAAAATTGTGACCAAGTCCCAGGTTGCTGATCTGACTTTCTGCTTCATTTACACACAATTGCAGGGTCTCAATTGTTTCTCTTACCCTTGACAACACAACAAACATATATTGTTTCTCACTCTTGATCCTTTTTCATTTTGCATTTCTTTATTATTATTATTATTATTATTATTACATTTTCGCCCCCCAGACCCCGATGTTGGTCATTGACCAGTGCCCGGATGGGCTAATCCCCGTAAAAAACAGCCCAGAAGATTCGACAAAGAGTTATCATGTAATTATGTTAAACTATTTCCGGTGAAATTCACACTTAAATTGGCACAAACAACAGCTGGGTTTCCTTCATACTATCTACATCCTCTTATTCACTTTCTAATGATAAAGTAACTTCAGCCTGGTGTTGTGTTTTGTTGTAAAATTTATATACACCAACAGTGTTTGGAGTATGTAACCGTCAAGTGTATTATTTTACACTGGACTCGGATAATGAAGAGAATTATGTTCTTTGAAGAAATATTACTTGCTTCACTAACTTTATGAACTTTTTTTCTTCTTTGAGAGTGTAATATGGCTAGACATATGACTTTTTTACAAACCTTTCTCAAGAAATTTGCAAGAGAGGTGTGGTTATCTATGCTTGGTAAGTCCTTCGAGCCAGCCAGGTGAGGGTACAGGGAGAGGGTGTTTTTTGAAGAATCCAAGTGGTGTAAAATTAAATTAAAGGGGGGAGACTTACTTATTGTCGGGTGTACCTGCAGGTTCCCAAACTGTAGCTTACTAAACCAAAGGAACTTAAGGGCCTTAATAGACAACGCAACGATGCTCAACCCTAGCCACCTCCTTATCATGGGGGGACTTTAACTATGGCGACATCGATTGGAGAAATGAGTCTACGCCAAATGGCTTAAATAACCCCGCTACTCTTTTTGTAGAAACTCAAGAGATAATTCTCTGTTCCAACATGTTAAAGACCCGACTCATTACAGAGGGGAGCAAACACCCAAGCCACTGGACCTTATCATAACTAACGAAGATGGTATGGTGGCCAAGCTGGAACATCTAGCCCCCGTTGGCACCAGCCACCATGTAATGTTGTCCTTCAGATTTAATTAACTGTTACTTGGTTCACGACAAAACCAGGCCAAGGTGCAAGAAGAGTCTGATGACGAGGGCTGAAGCAATGTCGTAAATAATAGTTTGTGACTTGTATATACATGATGTATAATACTATACACTAATAAAAATATAAATTTGATGTTCTAAGCTTTTCAAATAATGGTATTATGTATGTTTAATTTCTAGTGTTTGTCTTGTGATATCCCTCCTTGCTACCCACAACATTGAGGAAAGGCAAAGTATAAGTTAAAATTAGGAGTGAATAATCCAGGGGTTGAAATACGTGGATGCAGCAAGTAAGGAGCACACACACAAGAATCACTTATCGTGACAGACAAATTTAAGTTATGAAAGGGATAAGAAGATTAAGTAAATTGAATCATTTAATAACATTTATATTAAGTATTAATATAGTTAAATAAGTTACTTTACATAACACAAGTTACAAAATCAAAACACAAGCAAAACAACTATGCAGTTATCAAAACACCACAATATACTCAATTATTCTTACTTTAAACATTAAATACACATACTATACACAACACAAAAACCTGGTAGAAATGGCAGCTCAGGTAGCAAGTTTACGTTGCGATGGACAACCACAAGGAACCAGGGATTACCGCCGTATTCCACTACCATCAAACCATCTCGACACCACCAGCAGTAGTCCTTAATACAATTCTTCGTCCACACCCCGGGGAAAGATGAACACCGTTGGCCGCAGAGAAGAGAATGAGCTAGGCAGACACTCTTGCTTCGATACCTCGGTCTCATAGTCGGATGGGAAACTGGTTCTGAATCGGTGCTCACTGGGGTCGAGTAGCTTCGTGAAGCAGTTTCTTCTCCTGGTGTCAAGTTAGAGCAAGTGATGGTTATCACAAGAGGATATGAACAATCTTCGTACATTTGAGGATAGACGGTTTGATAGCGCTGCCCCACATTGTGTTCTCAGAAGAGGTTATAAGAAATAAATTGTTAAAGCTAAAGATTCATAAGAGTCCCGGCCCTGATATGGTGCATTCCAGAATGCTAAGAGAGTTGTGCAACGAGCTTGCTGAGCCCCTGAAGATGCCTGGATGAGCAAAAGGTCACCAGTGATTGAAAAATGGCTAATGTGAGTCCTAATTTCAAGAAGGGCGATCAACTTTCCACGAATAATCATAGACCAGTGAGCTTGACCAGCATAGTATGTAGAGTATACTTGAGAGCATTATAGAGAAGTCATGATGAAACTTCTACGAAACAACCTTGTAAATTTCTGCCAGCACGGTTTTATGCCGGGATGCTCCTGTTTAACACAATTACTCAAAGTACTGGATGTTTGGACCCAAATTCTGGAACAGGGCGGCAATATCGACAATATATCCCTTGATTTTGCCGAGGCTTTCGACAACGTACCCCCATGGAAGGCTGAAAATTAAACTGGAAGGGTACGGGATTCGGGGAAGTGTCCTAACGTGGATCGGAGACTTTTTACTTGATCGCAAGCAGTGTGTGGTGATTAATGATACTTTTTTTTCTTTTATCCTCTTCACCACTGATCGGCTCGTAAGCGGCTTGGGCGATCGGTCACGTCTCTAATTACTTTTACTTTTCTTTTATCCTCTTATTATTATGGAGTATATACTGTATACTGTAGACCTTGGGTCGCATTGAACCTTTTAACTGTAAGTACTGCAGGACTTTCCGTACTTATGTAAGGTGTTTGGGGGTTTCATTAATACATGGTATATGTATAAAAAATTTCGTTGTACTGGTATATCCTGAGCATTGGTAATAGGAGAGGGTTAGTGTGATTTATATCAGTGTTAAAATCATTACCATTAGTACTGGAAAGAAAAGTTTCACACAGTTCACCGGAATATGATGATATTCTGCTAAACCTTTGACAACTAATCTTAGGATATTCCATAAACTGAGGATCCCTCAGTTTATGGAATAAACTAAGGGTTATCAGGGACGGTACTACCGTCCCTGATAACCCTTAGATAGCGCCTGATCTCATAATAGTTCCGTGCTAAAAGGGCATAACAGATGGAATGCAGCCGTATAAAAACTTTAATTCCCGCTGCAATTCAAACACAGGCTGTACTATGTAACGTCAAAGTGTAGTATGCTATGTCGACAAGTAACATGAATCAGCAGGTAAAAAGGTTACTTGACCGTGTAGTTGTAACTTTTACTATTCACTGACAATTAGCAATATGCAAGAATCTGCATTGGAAGACAGTGGTATCTGCTTCTCATCACCTTTCATTTCCTTAAAAAATAAATTTCTAGTCCGTTTTTTCTTTCGCTTTTCATTAAGATAGAGAAAACTTACCTTGGTGTCGATATAATGCGGTGCGGACTTTTAACGACCTCGTTTTCCGAAGGGCAGATACTGTAATAATAGAGGCACACAAGGTAAGATACATTGGCGTGTTGTGAATGTAGAGTGATAGGATTATACTTAAACAAGTCCCGGTGCATGGATTGGTGATCTAGCCAGCCTTAGCAATTGACTTTAGGCTACGTCCTTTCCATTCGTTTGCATGTTTAAAAATTTCCTTGTCAAGTTTTTGCGGAGTTTCATGCTCAGAGCGGTTTCTTTTGCATGGCAGTCTGATAGGATGACAAACTTGTGTCTATTTGTTTCGACACTATTCACAAACTGGTTTAATCATGTTCCTTTTGGTTATAGAGAGTGGTAACTTTCACTTGACCACCTGTCGTGCTTGAAACTGGTTTAAACATATTTCCTGGTGGTTATACAAAACTCTTACTTATCTTTTTGAAAAGGATCAATTTTAAAGGATGAAATAACTGAAAAAAAAGCTAACAGCGTTTCTCGCAAAATCTTGTATCTTTATCCATTGTAGATTTCTCTTCACCTCTCCAGAATCCAGATAATCTTCAAATACATTTGCGAGTTGTCAGTGGACAATCATCAGTGATGTTTGTCACATTTTCAGTAATAATGCAGGTCACACGAATGAGGGCTGCCCAGCCCCAGTAGTAAGTCAGCTCCTTCCCTTGTGTGCCATCACTCATGGCCCACTACAGAGGGCTTCTCCCTTAAAACACCAGCCATTACATATTTATTTCCACTGTGTGGAGCGTTTATAAGCGTTGGCAGAGGAGGGGTGAAAGCGCTGACAGGGGTGATGGCCTCGGCAACTCCCTTGTGCTTTTTTGTGCTCATATTTGTGTGCGGTCGTGCATTTGTTTCTTAGTAGATTTATCACGTGTACTTACATCCGGTGAAGTGGAACTTTAAATGTAAGGTAAGAGTTTTAGCCCCTAGTTTGGCTGTCACAAAATGAACCAGTCGTAAACCTGCCTATAATAAGAATGAGACCAAACAAAAGCACACGATGCAATGCAAAGGTTATGAAAAAGTGAGTATGACTTACAACATTCTGGCGAGAGGAACAATATTAGTAAAACCTCATATATCAGATATATGGAGGGAAATCTTATATCAAGGTTCCATTAGATGTGAAACCTCCATATAACGATCTGCCTGTATACTGCATAGATATGAAAGTCATCATATCGAGGGTCCGTTAATATAGAAACCCCCACGTAACTGATCATATTAGGGCGGATCCAGGAGGGATCCTGGGTGTCCGGACCGGTTCCATGTCAAAACCCCAACGGACAAAACCCCAACGGGGTTGTCATCTGTCAACACTAACCTAACCTAAGCTTAAAAGTGTTTTATTTTATATTTTATATATGAGACTGGGGTTTTGTCCGTTGGGGTTTTATCCGGTCACCGTGGCTGCTACCAGCTGGAGAGGCAGGAGCACTGAGCCAGAATCCACACAAAATAAATTGTATAATTTTGGTGATTTTTTTTTTTCTGTATTGCAATTTTTTCTTTTGAAAATCTTAATAAATTAACCAAAATTCCATAAGGGCGAATCAAGTCCTAAACAGATGCACAACTCAACACAAGCTGGGGAAAGAATTATAACTGAGCAGCTCCATTGTTGTGAATATTGGCAACTGGGGAGGTAAGCAGCCTTCCAACTGCCTTGAGGCAAACATAGATGCATCCACACAATTTTTATACTATCTTTGTAAAAACTTCGATTAAAAATACCTTTATAGTGTATTTATAAAAAAAATTAATATTCCGTAAAGGCGATTTTTTCCCTGTAACTCAGGGGATACAGTACCCGTATAAACACGCAATTTTTTTTTAATTCATCATTATACAGTATTCTTGTATGATGAGCCTCTTAATGGTGTATGTTTCATCATTAATAATATAAAATATTAAATAATAGAAAAAATATGCCAGGTTGAATGTGTCTTTCAGTAAACAGTTTATTATTATTTACCTCACATCACCCCCTTCCAGCTCCCATGCACACTTAACTATCGTGGACAAATATGTTTAGATTTATGTTTTTGACTATATGATATCAAATTTTTTTTTGCACATTCTGTATGAACAATTATGTGGGCATGTAAAAGAAATTGAATAAAAATGCAGATATCCACTCAACATTACGATTTGAAAAATATTGACGCAACTCGAAGGTTGGCGCACTAGGGGTGAAGCTTGCCGTAGGTCAGAATATGAAACCTGTGGCTAGCCTGCCCGGTTTGAAATATTACTGTAAGGTATCCTAATTTTTAATTTACGAATAAGCAGGGTATGCATTGCAAATATCGAACAAGGGTGTTAAAATACTAATTGTGGATAGGTGGGGTCGAGAATAGCGAAGTACACATACTGCTACCCATGGCTTTCTGCATAAGCTACAACTAGGGTCACACTTCAAGCAAATACACGATACACGAGACCTGCGTAAAATGAGACCCCACTACAGTAGAGGTCCAAAAATCCGGACTGCTTGGGGATTGGGTTGGTCCGGATTTTCGGATTTTCCGGATTCTCAGGCAGTACTTTTAAAATTCAAATTTAAGGAGGAATAAAGACGAGATGAACAGGTACATTTTGATAGTTTATTCATTAGCAAATATAGCATGCTTCATTTATCAAAACGAACATTTTAAGGAAAAAGCTGTGAATTCTAGAATTTTATTCTTTGCCTCTTTTATATCATAAATTGTAGACTTTCCAATGTCGTATGTTTCCATTTGAACAGTATTGCTCACACCATGTTTTAGTTTCTTAATTATTTCAAGTTTGTCACTCAATTTCAATGTGTTCTTCTTTCTCTTCACACAACGAAGTTTATCTACTTTAGGAGCCATTATTATGGGCTTGTACAGTACAGTACTCTGTAAATGAAAAGAGTAGGATTCAAAATTACATACGTTGTCACAATTTGATTGCTCGTTTTAAAGTGGCGACTGCATGGTCGCTTGTTGTCGCTGTGCAGCTGTGGCACTCACGCATGCGCGCATACACACAAAAGCCTGCTTAAAAAATAAAAAAAATAAAAAAACAAAAAATCCTAAAAGTCCGGATTCTCTGGTGGTCCGGATTTCTGGCATCCGGATTTTTGGACTTTTACTGTATACTATACATTTTATTTTTAAAGTCTTATTACTCATATTGGTATACAGTACTCCCTCTTTATCGACGGATTTTTTATCGACGGTTTCGATTATCGACGGATTATTTAGCCGGATTTTTATTTTGGCACCAAACAGCTTCTCCCAGTCCTCTCCTTGAACAGGGCTAGAGGGTACGTGTTTTTCGAATCGTTTTCAGTTAAAAAATTATTACATCACACGTATATTTTACCTAAACTGCGCCTGAATGAATATATTCTCGGAAATAAATAGTAGTTTTGCTGAAACGTGATGTATTTCAATGTAAAATAGGATAAAATACATCGAAAACAAAAGACTTTACCTAAGCTTCCGATGTTCTTGAGATGTTACTCGTTTTTTAATAGTTTTCGGTTAAAATTCTGTTATATTACAATGATATTCTATTCATACTGTGCTTGATATAATACATTCACGGAAATGTAATATTTTTGCTGAAATGACGTACGTATTACAGTGGAAAGTGGGATAAAATCGTGACGAAAACAATGACTTTCGCTTTCTTTCGTTCAAAAGATGTTACCGTAATCACTTTTCGAATGGTTTAGTTAAAAAACTGTTGTATTACAATAATATTCCCTCCTAATTGACTTGAATAAATACTTGAATGGAAATATACAATATTTTTGTTGAAACTACCCGCGTTTCAGTGTAAAGTGTTGTAATAATAAATGGTAAACAATTTGCCTTGGGCATCCGGATTTTTGTTTACTGTAAGGACCGATGTTCACTTCAATAAATGAAATCGTAAGTTTGCTAGTATTTTTGTCCACTTATTATATTATTATTTATACACTATTATTTAAGGTTATGTGTGAAACGTTAATGCTTAAAGGTACATTTATTCAACAATGAATAATTTAGAAAAATTGACCATCATATCGACGGTTTCTTTATCGGGCCATCTACACATACGTAACCCCCGTACGATAAATTTCAGATTACTGAATTTAATAATTCAATCTTTTTCAGCATAATGTATTCCTAACCCCTCAAGTTTCAAGAGCCAGGGTGAGAAAGTAGCCAGGTCAATAGTAGAAAGTACTGTTTGCAGTTCATATGACCTGGGTCCTCGTGATTAACAAAACCTTTAGGGGTAAATAATTCTTGTTAAATATTTCACCATCATTTTCTGCTTTACTGGTGGGATCCCTTAAGAGGCCTACCAACTAGCAATATGAGTCCACTTAGCTACTGATCTCTCCTTGAGGGCAAGTGTGAATCTTTGATGGGCTCATCTTGCAGCTCACTTGTCTATTTCCTAGCCATTAATTGGAGGGTTCACACTCCAATCCTTTTGCTTTATACAAAGATACATATACATTATATACACTGTGTACAGTTTCCACCTACACCTGATGAAGATATTGAAAACTTTCAATGTTCCAAGACCTGTAGCAATTGTTAAAAAAAAAAAATAAAATAAAAAATAAAATAAAAAATAAAAACAGTACTGTACAGTAGACAGTACTAAAGAATTTTTCAATTATTAATTTTTTTCAATATTTATTTATCATGTTTTATCTTCTGCCTCTTTTCTTTGAAGGCTCGACATTTTCTTTGGGACCTTGAAATTCAGTGATAAGGTCTTCCATTACTTCTTCCCTTGCCGGAGCATAACAAGAATATTCCATTGCAAATTCGCCTTTTCCCTGTGTTGAGGAACGCAATTCTGTGGCATACCCAAACATGTCATTCAGCGGAACCTGTAAAGATAATATTCATCTATTAGACTGAGCATGACTAAGGTTAAAATATCTCTTGTTAGACTACTGAATAATCCACGAAGAATCTGTTCTAAGTTTATTAATAACAAAATAAAATATTTGTTTATTTATTAAGTAGATACATTCGACTTATACTGAAAACAGCTTCCCTTGATTTGGTTTACATCAATATTATGAGGTGCTCTTGTGCCCAACTCTTCAAACAATGCAATTTTCTCAGATTGTCCAGTAACTGCGCATCATTTCATAATCGATATTTGCTCCCAGACCCAGAAATAAAAATTTGGACAGATTTTCCAGATTTTTTCCCAGAAATAAAATTTGGACAGGTTTTCCAGATTTTTTTTTATTATTATTATCAGAAAATGATCCTGATGTTCAAACTTGGCATTTGTTCCCAAACCCAGAATGTAGGACATTTTCTGGAAAAAGTATGAGCAAATTCCAAGTCTGGCTATTGGAGAGTTCCGGGTTTGAGGGATTCGGCTAACGAAAATATTACTAATACCTGTAATTTCAGACAGATATATGTATTTTCTTCATTTTTTTTACGGTTACATGCACACACAATCGTTCATACAGAATGTGCAAAATAAAAATAAAAAATATAAATGTTAGGTAAAAAACACAAAAGGCATAAACATGGGCAGAAGTTAACACTCACAGTGGGGGAAGGGAAGTGAGGATTTCTTAGCTGTTCTGTTTTGTGTCCAGTGTATAGTGAAAATTGCCATATGGGAATGCAGTACTTTTTAATTTATATCATTTATTAATATTATTTTTACGAAGTGAGTATTTGCACACATTAGTGGAAAATAACGCATACGGTATTTGCACACTGTACATCAAATTCCTTCTCTGCTTGATCCATGTACAGTTCTAATTAAAGTAATAAAATTTAGAATTAATTGATCTTGAACAGCAAAAAATCTACATACTGTCCCGCTGAGAATTTTTTGGTGAAGAGGATAAATTAAAGTAAAGACAAGTGCATGGATCTCAGTACTCACCTGAAGATTCTCCCCAACACTACTAGGGGGTATACTTCAGGTGACAGTGGACTTCAGTAAACCAGTAAATAACTCACCTGGCAGTATAAAGAAAACCAGCCCTCATTAGCATCTGTACCAGTAATAATACCGTGGCGTTTGTTCATATGTGATGTGACCACACCCTGGAATTCCTCTGGTGCAGTAATTTCTACAGACATAATAGGCTCCAGGATAACCCATACTCCATCTTCATATGCTGATGAAACAAAAAATGGCAGTTAGACTGAAGCAAAATGGATACACTTTTTTCACTCATGATTAGACTCATCATGGCAATTATGTGTCTGTGCCAATGCAGGTTAATTACATGTGAAATCTGACACAACTTCATCAGCTGGAGGAATAATAACTGTAAATGCCACAATTAATTCACTTGTAGTTTCAATGCTTTTCAAGGCAGTGCACAAGTACTCTATCTATGATAACTTATTACCTCTGAGGGCAATGACAGTAGAACCTCCAGGTTATAACTACCACTACATAACTCTCTTGTTCTCTCTATTCCCCTTTTCCCATCCCTGTTCTTACCATTCCTTTTCATGATGCAGGCAGTCTCTCTCAACCTAATTCACCTGATACAGTGCCCCAATACAATCTTCCTCCTGCATTCCTCTCATTTATCCATTCCATTTTAGCACACCTCTCTCCACTCATTCTACCACTGCCCAAGTTACACCCTCTGCCCTTTCCCCATGTGTTATTCTCCCCCCCCCCTTATATCTTTCTCCATTGTACACCTCTTAATTACCATCACTCCTCAACATTTAAAACTTTTAGCCTTCTCAATATCTCTTCCTTCATATACATTTTAAGTCACAAAAATTTTCTTCTCTAATTTTCCAATATCCACTATCAAATTCTTTCCTTTTAAATACCATTGCCTTGCTCTACCTAACATTTACTTTCATTATCCTTATATCATTACATTGTAAGAAATAACACATTATCTTTTGGAGTTCCTGTTTGTTCTCTGCAAAAAGCACTGCCTCATTTGCATCCTACCTTCCAGTTTCACTCCTACCTCAGTCACCTTTGTTTTCATAACTCTCATTACCCCATTCATATCATCATCATCGACATTTTAAGACCATTTACCATGCTTGCTTGGGTTAGCTGTGATTAATTGATGGCAGCTCTCCATGCTGCAGTCTTCTACAGCTTCTCTCATCAGAATCTTAACTAACGTAATTTATTACATCTCCCCATGTCATTCTTGGATTATCTATACTTCTCCTCCTCTCCACATCTAAGGTCAAGCATCTCTTAACCCAATTAGTCTCCTTCATTCTCTCCATGTGCCTACACCATCCCAACTACCACTTAGTAAAACTTTACCAATACTCTTGATACCCAATCGCCCTCTTAGCTCTGAACAGGATTTCCCATCTCTCAACATTACATTACACTCTTTAAAATAGGAGTCTAAGGGAATATGAGATCCATTTTGTTACTGGCCATAAATATCTCATCTCTAGTCCCTCTACCTGAAATGAACCTGAATTGCATTTCATTAATGATCACTTTCTCCCTTCTCAATTTCTTGATCATTCTTTCCAGAATTTTCATAACCCGATCTGACAGCTTCAGACCCCTGTAGTTACTTAGTTCAAGTGCATCACCATTTCTATTTCAAGTACTGTACAGTACTCAGCCAAGTAACTGGAACAATACAATCCATCAAACCCTGTAATTGTAATAGTTAATTCAGTCACCATGCAGATTGGACAGCTGCTGCCAGTAGGCAATCGTGCCTAAACCATACAAGCATGGAAAATGTCCGTAAAATGGTGGTGAGGTAATACTCCTCTGGCTCATACCTTTACTGGTATCCTCAAACAAATTGTTTTATCATACAGTAATTACTTTCCTTTTCCCTTATGGTCTCTGATACTTGCCCCAAATTAATGTTTCAAAACCAACCATCTTCTTCAAACATACATTTATAAACTTGAAAAAATATTGATACAAAAATGCAATTATAATAAAAGAATATTTATTGAGTAATCACTACTTGCTGCTCTTACCTTGTTTCATGGCTCCCTGACCAGCAAGGATGAAAGAGATCTCATTGGAGTCAACCATGTGGCTAGCACCGTCCTTTAGTCGAAACTTCACACCAGAGACTTTCTGCCCTGCTAACATGCCTGAAACAATAAAATAGTCTTTAAATCATTTTGCTATGCATAAACACCTAAATAATTCATACGATACATTGGTCCTAGATGTACAGGTTTGCCTCTCAAATTTGTGCTAAATGGTACCACACCGTGGCTGAATTTTCAGACACATGTTCGTGGAATAAGCATTTAAAACAAAAAAATTTGCTAATCATTTCCTAAAAAAAATAAATCTAATTGTACAAAAATAAATCTTTATTGTTTAAAACTTACATCCCAATGCCATATTTATTTGACATGACAAGTGTTACTGCCACTGATGCCAGATTATTGAGGAGGGGGGGGGAGGGGGGTGACAGTTAGGGTAAGTCAGGTGAAAGGATTTATGACATCACATGGCATGGGTTACCGCCACCGACACCATTTAGATGGACACAAATGATCTACGAGTTTATAAGCACAATAAAATTTAACATTTTAAGATGCTTTTTTTTTTTTTTTACAGGGATTAGCCCACCTGGGCACAGGTCACTGACCCACATTGGGGCCTGGGGGCCGAAAATGTAATAATAATAATAATAATAATAATAATAATAATAATAATAATAATAATAATAATAATAATTCAGATAAGTAAAATTAAAAAAAAATTATGATAGCGATACAAAAAGAATAATAATAAAGAACCATAAAGAAATACAAAAATTAAAAGAAAATAATCAAAAGTGAGAAACGATATATGTATGTTGTGTTGTCAATAGTAAGAGAAAAAAATTGAAACCTGCAATTGTGTGTAAATGAGGCAGAAAGTCAGATCAGCAACCTGGGACTTGGTCACAATTTTTGTAATGCCAATGGCAGCAGGATCTACCATAGACAGCACATTATGCTTCCAATATCTTCCCAGGCGGTAGTACCTCCCTGTTTGATAGCTGCCTACTACATACTACTGTAATTTTTTTATTTTTTTTCGTGCTGGCTAGACCCCCGGACAACTCTTTCGGAGCTTGGCCAGCACGTTGTATAAAACTCTTCCCTTAAAAATAAATAAATAAATATCGGGCAGGCAATTTTCATTAAAAAATTTGCTAGGGCAAGTAAATTTCAATAGTCACTAGTCCATGACAAGTAAATGTTCCACATAATCTACAAAGCCTGCAATTTATAGCTACTTACCCAAAATGCCAACCTCATCCCTGTCACACAAACTAATATTTAAATCTCCCATCACTTAACCCTGTAAAACTCAAAAGGACACACTTTTTATGGAGTTGTTCAGGTTCCTAAACAACTTATATTCTCATTCCCTTGTGTATAAGCATTAAAGTAATCCATTTCCCAGACATCTTTAACCTGAATCATCACTTGGAGCTGATCACCCAAATGTTTCATCATATTGTCAATCATTTCATCATTGAAGAGCAGAGCCACACCATCTTCTACACACTCCTGACTTTATCTCTTAACACTAAGACATTTCATGTTTACAAATTATATCCATACCTTTATCACAGATTGCTTTGAATCCCTTTTCAACAGCCATTTCCCAGACATCTTTAACCTGAATCATCACTTGGAGCTGATCACCCAAATGTTTCATCATATTGTCAATCATTTCATCATTGAAGAGCAGAGCCACACCATCTTCTACACACTCCTGACTTTATCTCTTAACACTAAGACATTTCATGTTTACAAATTATATCCATACCTTTATCACAGATTGCTTTGAATCCCTTTTCAACAGCAGGAATGAACTGTTTTGGAATGTTGGTTCCCATTGTTTCATCTTTGAAGATATTTTTTGTGTTTTCTTCATGTGAGAGTGGCTGTAACAGAATTTGGGCTTCAATTTGGGAGTCTTATATCTCTCTTAATTATTGTAGTACAGTAATGTATATGACAATCACATAGTAACATCCAAGCTAAATCCTAAACATTAATTAAATTTTGAATTCAACATGTTCCTTGTACTGTACAATAAAGCATAAATATTAGTCATTATGTGATTACACTAGAATATTGTTATTTAAAACATTTATTCACTTCTTAATTTAAACTTACCTCAACAATTCCAGTTACACGACCATATTGACCAGATCCACCAGATTGCTTCTTATGGAGAAAATCAAACTCGACTGGACTAGCAAGTGTCTCTCTGAAGGCCACCTTTGGTTTTCCCATTGCCACTTCACATCCATACTCTCGCTCCATTCTCTAAATAATGATGTTAATTAGTCAATGACACATCAACTGCTATTACTAATGCTGATGACTTTTTACCTGTTCTTTACAGACTTTTCTTATCAAATAGGTACTGTACATACATAACTAAGACTTCAATATTTGTTACTTATACAGGGTACTCTACACCTTGAGTTTTTTATACTCTACACCTCAATATTTAGTTACTTATACATTATACCTCGAGTTACTTATACTATACACCTTAATATTTACTTCTTAAAATCCTATTTTCAAAAATTTTCTCATTATTACTTTGATTAATTCCACACACATTCAAACATCTTGTGTTTATATAATTGTATTTCATTTTAGTAAATGAATAGAAGAAAGTAGGGTTACCACACCCCAAGAACAGCTGTAATCAGATAATCTACTCTTAATATATTTGTTATATCTTCTTTATGTCAAGTATTTCAGCTGAAGCATGGCACAATAAAGGATTTTCCCAGTTCATTTAATTTTTATACAATTTCATTTAGTCTTATTTTGCCCCTTTACAATATGTCAAATACTTTAATAAACTTACTATTACAAATTCCTTCAGGGCATCAATGAGAGCGTCACACACTTCTGGAACTATGGCAGATATTAACTGTTTTGACTCTTTGAAGGTATACATCAGGCTTATAAACGAGTCCCCACTGGTAAGATACCATAATGTTACTGCCTGGCGTATTTTGACATGGATTGAGGCTCGTTTATAAACCTGATGTATACCTTCAAGAAGTCAAAACAAAGTTAATATCTGCCATAGTTCCAGAATTGACGCTCTCATTGATGCCCTGAAGGAATTTGTAATAGTAAGTTTATTAAGTATTTGACATATTGTAAAGGGCAAATAAAGACAAATGAAGTGTATAAAGAATTAAATGAACTGGGGAAAATCCTTTATTGCCATGCTTCAGCTGAAATACTTGACATAAAGAAGATATAACAAATATATTAAGAGTAGATTATCTGATTACAGCTGTTCTTGAAATTAGTAACCTACTTTCTTCTATTCATTTACTAAAATGAAATACAATTATATAAACTACAAGATGTTTGAATGTGTGGAATTAATCAAAGTAATAATAGAGAAAATTTTGAAAATAGGATTTAAAGTAAATATTAAAAGGTGTATAGTATATTAACTCAGTATAATGTATAAGTAACTAAATATTGAGGTGTAGAGTATAAAAACTCAAGATTGTAGAGAGTACCCTGTATAAGTAACAAATATTGAAGTCTTGATTATGTATGCACAGTACCTATTTGATAAGAAAAAGTCTGTAAAGAACAGGTAAAAAGTCATCAGCATTAGTAATAGCAGTTGATGTGTCATTGACTAATTAACATCATTATTTAGAGAGAATGGAGCGAAGGAAATATGGATGTGAAATTGGCAATAAAACC